TTGGTATGGTAGTGGTGATAGTTGGTGCGGTGGGAGCAGTGGTATTGGTATCAAGATCCTGTGGTTCAGTGAAAACCTTCATATGAAATTTTAAGTTGTTGACATGACTGGAAATGTTGTAATCCGTACTGACGTCTTCTGCGGGTGAGGCGGCACGGTGACAGTGGACAAGCCTCAATTCATTGTCGGGGTCACTCGTAAGGGCCAGGGTCATGGTATCTCCGATACAACAACAGTGCCTAGCTGCGTCGGGTTGTTGGTCGGTCGCCTCACTATTTGACGATTCACACTGGAGAGTAACGTGAAGGAGTTGGCTTGAGTTTTGAAGGACGTCCAGGTTAAATGGCATCGACATCAACTGCTCGTCATCATGGCAGCAGTGACAGTAGTTTATATCCTGTAGAGAAACATCTCAGTATTACTTGTAAACTAACGTGTTTTATGGTCTGTATATAGAGTTCTTAGTGATGGTTAAGTCTGTCGGGGTGGAACAGAATAAGGATGCTACACTTGCCTCCAGATTAACAGTCTGTATGACGTGTACCACTACCATGTTGCATGCTGTTCTCCATACCGCCTGAGGAAGGAAAGAAACTGGCATTTAGATGGTGTGTTCCCATGTGCTGTTAAGGAGTATGTTAGAGATTCAGCCTTTCACATTTAAAGAGTGTCGGTGCGATGCAGTGGATGGGAGGAAGGGAGAGAGGCAGGTGGAAAGTGGGTGAGAGGCATTGGATATCGTGCTGATCTGCTCTAGCTAAAGCAATTTCATCTTTGCATTACTGAAATTATGATTTTGGTGGTGATAATAGAGATAGTGGGGTGGTGGTGATGGTGATCATGGAGCTGGTGGTGGAGGGGGAGATTGTGGTAAGTGATAACGCTGACTGCAGCACTGCCAGACACAATTGAATAGCTGATGTCTACCCACAAAATAGAGTGTAAGTATTAATGAACAACGTCGTATTCCTTCCTCATTACGTTGCATAGATTTTAAATTATGGAGTGAGAAAGCAGAAAGGTGGGGGTGGTTAAAGAGATGGAGTGGAAGGAAGTGGTAATGCGCAATGGGTGTGTTACCAAACGCATGCTTGTCCTTGTCGGGAACACAGATACATTCAACCAGATAATACACACGTCTTCGTCGCTTGGCTAAATCAGTAACCTTATCCTTCTTCTTTTTCACAGGTGTTATGGTGGAGGGTAAGTAAAAGTTAAAAATAATTCACCAAAAACTAGCATGGAGCAAGCAGGAAACCGTCTTCAACTTGCAACTTGTTTGGGGATTACTGGCCACTTCGCCTTTCGGCTATTTCGGCCGGAGCTGTTGTCTTCTTTTTTCATTCTTCTCCTGGGTCGTTCTTGAGGTTTCTTCTTCTATTTTTGGTCTTTATTCTTGCACTCATTCTTTGGTGGCATAACTACGCTGATCTCATTTCTTATTTTTCATTGGTATTCTTATGGTTTTCTTTCTTCTTGATGTTGATGTTTTGTTTGTCGATGAATTATGATATGAATGGGTGATATGATGGTGAATCTATTACAGTCCAGATGAAATGGCCAGTCAGGTGACAAGTTTCTGGTATTTTTTTATGTCTTTGTTTGTACGGTGTTGGTAGGTGTCAGTTTTACTTTGCTTATGTGCGTGTTGTAGACAAAGGAAATGTCTGTGATATGTCTCTTGTGTTGTATGTTTTCCATTTCTTTATTTACTTTAATTTATTTATTTTGGATTTATTTACGGCATGTTTACATACATATTATAGAAAGCACATGTTGCATGTACCATTTATAGCATGCCGATAAGACGGGTGTCCTTGGGGAAGAGTATTACAGCGTCACTTATGGTAGTAGGTCGCAGGCAGCTAGCTATCAAACAGGTAGGTACCGCCTGGGAAGATATTGGAAGCATAATGTGTTGTCTAATAGTAGACTCTGCTGCCATATGGCATCACAAAAATTATGACCAAGTCCCAGGTTGCTGATATGACTTGATGCCTCATTTACACACACTTGCAGGGTCTCATATTGTTTCTCTTACTATTGACAACACCACATACATACAGTACATCGTTTCTTACTTTTTATTTTTTTATATTTTATTATTATTATTTATTACTATTTTTACTTTTTTACTAGATTTTGTCAGTTATTATTATTATTATTATTATTATTATTATTATTATTGTTATTATTATTATTATTATTATTATTATTATTATTATTATTATTATTATTATTATTATTATTATTATTATTATTGCCTTTTAAATTAAGACTTGTCTTAAAATACAAAAGAAAGAATCCTACAGCAAGTTAAGCTTTTTGTTAGCGCTCCCAAATTACCACCAGGGGAAAAAATGAAAGAAAAAGGACAGATGTTTTAAGCCCCCCCCTCTCTCTCTCTCTCTCTCTCTCTCTCTCTCTCTCTCTCTCTCTCGATTATTATTATTATTATTATTATTATTATTATTATTATTATTGTTATTATTATTATATTTTCGCCCCCCAGGCCCTGATGTGGGTCATTGACCCGTGCCCGGGTGGGTTAATCCCGTAAAAAAAAAATAGGTTGGGTACAGTGAAAGACTATTATTAAGAACCACGCCATCTATTGTGTCATGATCTAACTACCCAGCACTACCGAGCAACGCCATCTAGGGACGAAACCCGAGTATGACTAGTCTTAGTCACCACTCCGGGTTTCCTTTCTCTATATCCTGGTTGTTGCGTCACCTCCTCCAACTCTTCCTCATCAGCTCCGGATTGAGGAGAGGGCAGTTCACTCTGGGAAGTGACCACACTTGGATCACCTATCCTGGAAACCTACGGCACAGTGACTACCTACCATCTTCTTCAATACTCAGCCCTACTCGTCAGACACTTCAGCACCACACTTGAGTATTGTAACCCTATATTACCTCCCACCTCCACTTGCTTCAGATTGTTGTATGTTGTATAAATATGTATATACTGTTAAGCCAATGTTGAGTATGTTTAAGTTAAGTATGGCTAAGGGTAAATTATAGAAAGCTGGATATTTTGTTAAGGAATTTATTGTACTTTATTATACACAACAAAAACTCGCATCCTTTGTCTACCCTTTTATAGTCCGATTGTCTTTGTTTGTTTAGTTTTTTATTGTTGTTGCCTGTTGGGATCTGGGTAGACTTTTAACTATATTCTAAACCAGTTTCTAAATCCCCAACTCGTAACACTATAATAAGAAAGACAGGAAAGCAAGACGAAAACCTCGTAAGCCACATAGTTGGCCGCGGGATCAACAGATGGCGTTAGTGTGCAAAGCGCCGGTCTTGTCTGTACGTCATCTGTTTACACGGACGTTTAACCATGAGTGGGCGTCACCACCATCCGTGTGCCATATGCACAGGCACGCACAAAAACAGATTACCCTGAGCTTGTGTTTCTCGTATTCCTCAAAGACAGAAAACGGTAATAGCACCACTGTTTTTAATGTACACTGTACGTATATTAAGGATCTACACAGCTGCAGGTAGCGGGGGCTAGCGACAGGACACCATCCCGGATGTCCTGTGTCGCGCCTCCTAGCCGTAGTCAGACCCTTAACGTCAACATATCCCTCCTGATGTGGAGTGAGGAGGACATGAGCCTCTACCTTCGTTCTTTCTATACGCGTACACCTGTAGGCATCCAGGCAGACGAAGACATCGGTTCTGTATTCTTGTCAGCTTTGCGAGTGTGGTGTCGAAAGTCGATGCATACAACTAATATCAAACACCAACCAAAACACACAGGAAAACAAATGCTGTCGCTGGAAGCTGGCGCCATGAGTCGTGCTGCCATCTCTTGGCAGTCACTGCTACAGCTGGCTCTCGCGGACCCGCCGCTGCCCCATGATAATTCCGCGATAACCCAGATCAATCAGTGATAAGAGTAAACATGGTCGCAATTGAGGATACCGTGATAGGCCAGATTAGCGATTATCGAGGATACATGTATATAATTTTACGATATCGATACATTTTTGACACAACAGTTCTAAAATGAAGGTTCATGGTCTCAATAAAAGGGTAACTGGAATACTAATTTTTGTGTCACTTAATATTTATCTACGGTTCCTTTTATTACCGATTTATAAGCATGACTTACCTTATACATATTGGAAGTCGCTGCCTTGGGCAAATGACTTCTCTGTCCCTGCAGTGTTTCACCAAATCCTCAACCAGGGAAAGAACATGTGCTAACTGTTGTCTGCTCAGACGAAAATATTCTTTGAATTTTTCTTCATCCAAGCTTAGGTCTTTTAATAGAGTATTGTAGGCTCCATATTTGGTCCGATTCAGCAGCAATCTATGAACCCACCATCTATGTTTCCTTGTCTGTTTCTCCTTTGATTTACGCATGATCTTATACAAACCCAGGATGTTTAATATCAAATCATCCTGTTTGAAGGCTCGTCGCTTCGTTGCACTAAGAGCCATCTTTCCTGTCTTGCTCCCGCTAACAGAAAGACAGCTGCACACAAATGGAAACAGGGGTTTCCGCTTTTCAGGGCAATTTGACGCAAACACACTGCAAATGCATATATGGAATCCTAGCTTAACTCTATTTGTTTTCTTACAGTACTGTACTGTGTTTGTTATAGTCAGCGGCATTTCATGTACGCCGTGGATGGAACAAATGAGCACTCCTTCATGACCACGGTTTTGGTTAAGTGAAGTAATCAAAACAGGGTGTAAAAGATTTAACCTTAACAGGGCTAGTTTGTTTGGGTCTGCACTCCCAACAAAGAGCCCCAGACATGACGTATCCACACCAGTACGGTTTAACTCTTTCACGTCATAACCAAAGTTTTCTTCTGACAAACAATGAAAGTATAAAGAAAAAAAATACGCGTAAAAGTACCTTGTGACTAAATAATGTGATTGTTATCTCTCTTTTATTCTGCCCACGACGAGGATGTTGTTATCACAAGGTAAGAATATACGGGGTGCGGCGGCCTATTACATACAACACTCGCGTACCGAAGGCTTAATATACTATACATTGTGCTATATTCACACTGTCTCGAATTGACAGTAATGCCTATGAGACCCGCTTCCAGTTTTCATGATTTTACGGCGTCAATAACTCACATAGGAAATCGGCATCGGGAGAGTGGACTTGTAGGGCTGAGCCTTACCTATAATTTCAGCCTTTCACGACCTCCCTCACACACCAAGCCAACCACTTTAAGATACACTTGCAACACTGACCTGGCTCATGAAATCGATTATTTTCTGGGGTAGTAGTAGGGGAGTACGCTGTGCTTTCGTTGCCCAAATCTCACATGCTGTAACTAGGGCAGATCTAGAACATAATTTACCTCCACCTCCTATGATAAGATAAGACACGACCAAGTCAAGGCAAGTCAATGAATAATTAGGAGATTGTGTCAGAAGAGTGCCATCCATCAGACTGATCACGAGGGTGCCATCTGAAGCTCACTTGTATCAACAAGTAAAGGTAAGATGGGTTGAGTGGGGTATTCAAGTTCAAGGACTCAACGTCTAGTGCCAATTACATCAAAATAAGTCACCTCATGACATGGATTACTATAAAATGTCGTGTGAACAAGGCTTTTAACTTAAAATGATTCCTGACGTTCATTGGACGATATTAGCCTTGGTAACGGTTCGCGGGCAGGGTTTGCATCTGTTCGTGTATGTTTATAGCTATTGCTATCAATTTTCTCTTTATTTTACATTTAACCTCCGCCTCTATCCTCCCTCTCAGACTGTATGTTGCCTGTGGTGATGATAGGCAACGAGAGGCTATATAGTCCATGCAGTCAACAGCATATTGTACCACTAGAATAATAATTTAATGTCAACAGTGACTGATGTAGTGATGTATCCAGAATAATAGTATTAGTCTCTACTCGTTAGTTTGTAAACAAGTAAGAGTATGATCCGTCACGAGCGGTTTGTTTTGTTATTATGAAGCCCAACCAAAGTCCTCCCCCATTTCAACACAGTAATAATTCTGTTCGTTTTGGAATTCAACTTTACGTTCCAAATTCCATATCAACATGAACAAACTTTCATCAACTTATCTGCGTCTCGTAAAATATATCATATAAAATACCTCTGGGATCAACAATTCATATTCTCGTAAATGTTTAGCAGATAAAAGTTTGTTTGCAGCCTTAAGACATCTATCATAGTGTAAACTTATAGTGAAATTGGATGACCAACGAAGACAGGAGACTCACTCACTCCCGCTACTGTAACTGTTACTGCCGTTTTTGTTATTGTTACTGTGAATGCTAATATAAATTTTACTGCTACTGGAACTAACAATAATTTATTGCTTATGATACTGTTATTGCTAATGTTACTGTTATTGCTATTGTAACCGTTACTGCTTTTTGTTACTGTTGTTTCTATTGTTATTGTAACTGTTACCTTTATTGTTACTGTTACTGTTACTGTAGCTAATAATGTTAACTGTTACTGTGTTATTGTTACTGCAAGTGTTACTATTACTGTAAGTGTTACTACTATTACTGTAAGTGTTACTACTATAACTGTTACTGATATAATTGTTACTTTAATTGTTACTATTATCATTGCTACAGCTACTGCGTATTCCAAGCTGGAGCCACGAGGGGTGAACGAAAGTGAGTGTGCAGTACCTCAAGAGCACTGTACTTTTTTTTTTTTTTACTTTTATCTCTTCACCACTGATCGGCTCGTTGGTCAAGTCTGGTCTTGAAAGATCTTACACTCGGTGCCGTCACAACACTTTCTGGCAGATTGTTCCAAAAGTTCACAACTCTCACTCCGAAAAAGTTTGTCCTCACAGTTTTCTGGACCTCCGGCTTCTTCAATCTTGAGCTGTGACCCCTTGTGGGGCGAGCGTCCGCCAGCTCCAAGTAAGGACACTCGACTGAGTAGTGCCCTTTGAGATGCTTATCCACCTCAGTTAGGTTGCCCCTTGCCCGCCTGTAGTATAAGCTAGGCAAGTTCAGGCGCTCCAATCTCTCAGGCTAGTTGAAGTGGCGAAGCCCAGGCACCAGCCTGGTGGCCCTCCTTTGAACATTTTCAACCAACTGACAGTCCCTAGTATATTTCGGGGACCAGACGGGGTGACAGTACTCCAGAAGGGGGAAGCACTTCACTCTTGAAGATCGTTACGACCTTCTTATAAGACCTAATAATTTATTTACCCGATTTACCTTCAGCTCATTGTCAACATACACACCTAGGTCCTTCTCACATTCAGTCTCAAATAGTGCAGTTTCTTCATCCCGTTGGGACATATGATACGCCTCCTTACCGTTGGTACGCCCCAGGTATCCTCTTACACTTCGTGACATTGAATCTCAGCAGCCATTTCTTCGACCATTCTTGGAGCCCACACAGATCCTTCTGCAGCTCTTCACGGTCCGCTTGGTTGTTGATTTCCCCAAATAACTTGGCGTCGTCAGCAAACATTTGCATGGAGGAGTGTACAACGTCAGGCATGTCATTTATGAAACAAACAAACAACAGCGGGCCCAATACACTGCCCTGTGGTACCCGCTTGTGACAGGTACAGATGGTGATTTCGTGCCATTAATCACCACACACTGCTTGCGGTCACGTAGAAAGTCCTCTACCCACGCGAGGACATTTCCCCGAATTCCGTACCCTTCCAGTTTGATTTTAAGCCTTTCGTGGGGTACACTGTCGAGAGCCTTGGCAAAATCTTGGTACATTTTGTCGATAATATCACCCCGTTTCAGAATATGGGTCCAAATACTCAATACCTTGAGCAATTGTGCTAAGAATTCCTGGTAACCCATTAATGGATGGTTCATATTATTGCCTCACTTAACGACAGGTGAGAAAGAGATATGTCGCCCACTATGATTAGTCCCAAGGTGAAATTATTTTTTTTTTATTGTGTTTGCCTTTGCTACTGTGGTACAATGGCAGCATGTGGTACTGTACACCTCATTTGAATGGAACAGATATTGTGTTGGATATACTGAGTTATGTGGTGTTGATACAGTTTTAGGTTTATGGTACATTGTATATGTCAGGTACAACTAATAACTCTGATATGTATTATTTATCACAGTATATTACTGGTTTGCTCCAACGTACATGTTTCTTTTGGTACATGTACAGTCCCCTTCACTAGTGCGTTTACAGGGGCTCGTCATATAAACATTCCACGAATCATTATCTTTGATATATTTGTTTTAACATTGTTTAAATTTGATTTCTTAGTATATTTACTGTTGCAAGTTTCTTTTTGTCGAATGGAAACAAACACAGGGCTGCCACACTGCAAAAACTTTGACGAGCCCCTGTAAATGCACATTTATGACAACGGATTAACAGGTTGTTCACGGTAGCTGAAGTATTCACGGCATCAGATGCGGTGGTGGAATGTGGCAGCGACGGTGGTGGTGGTGATGGTGGTGGTGCAGGAGGTAGACGCTTCCAACATACTCATCCTGGCGCCCATTGGTACTCGCAGCCACAAGATTTTTTACATGGCCATCGCAGAGGTGCTGGCGGCCAGGAACCACAAGGTCAGTCTACCTCCAGCTAGTGCGTGTGTCTCTGTCTCTCCCCTCTCAGCCTCTCTATGTACTACATGTCTCTTTTTCTCTTCCTCTATTTTTGTTGTTGTTTCTGTGTATGTGTGTTTATCTCCCTTTCTCTCGTTTTTGCTCAGTAAGATCATAGGATATGTAAAATTCTCTCTTCGTGCACACTTATTGTCTAACTTCAGAGATGGCTAAACCCTTTCTTGTACGTGTGTCTGGTTTTGTGGTCGTCTACTGTCATCTACACACACACACACACACACACACACACACACACACACACACACAATCCATACGAGAGGAAAGTTAGACAAATTTAATTGTTTAAAGTCAGGGATAATTTAAGGCGTTTCACTAAGGGTTTGGCATGTTGACAGAGAACATTGAAGAGCTGGTTGAGTCTATGAGATCTTCTTACTTTGAATGAATAACTAGTTAAACACGATGGCAATATACTGTTCACAGAAAAGTCACTCTTACAGTGTATAATACCTAACAAATGTGCGTAACTTACCATCTTTATCACGGAGGAAGAGTTGAGTATCAAACTCCAGAATATAACGAATGTATACTAAGCAGTCTCTAATGGATGAATTAATTACCGAATAATTGCCTTAGTGAGAGAACATACATCATCACATTTTGTTAGGAGAGCCACAGAAGCATCTGCCATGTGGGTTTAAGAGGGAGGGAGAGTCGTGCCACTGGTACAGGACCGCCGCTGACAGAGAGACACTACAATGTTTATTAATTATGTCACGGCATTGTGGAATTGCGTTGTTGTCGTGTTCTTGTCCATGTTTGTCTGTCTGTCCTTCATGTGTCCACAACAACTTCGGAAACAGTTGACTTTCTTGAAACTTGTTTCCCACGATAAAATAGAGTAGTTCTGTAATATGAGTGATCCAGGTGAAATATATTACGATATCTTTCATTAAATGAAGAAAAAGTTGTTCTTGTTTCTTCCGGGAGAAACTTTCTCTCCTGAAGGGTGGAACATCAAATAAGTGAAGTTGGTGAGTTTACTGTGAGGTGATGGACGCAGTGAAGGTAGCCTCTCATATCCCTGTGTAAGACTTCACCACCTGTCTTAATCTTTCGTTTGTCTCTGACACATAAAAATATTCTCAACTAACATTAACCGCCATTATTCACAGGTTACGTTTGTCACGGGATATAAATCCTCAAAAAACACGACCAATATCCGCGAGGTGTTTTTGCCGGACGGTGAGATGTACCGTAATGTGCCCAACATGTTCACCTCAACACAGAACGAGTTGTTTATTAAGTTGGCAATGGACATGCCCAAGAGCTGTGCTAATGCCTTAGGTTCTGAAGCCATACAGGGTATTAAGGAAGAACACTATGACTTGGTGATGCTGAGCGTCGTCATGACTGAATGTCTTTACTCATTAATTCATAAGTTACAGGTAAATTCTTTAAAACTGTGTTGTAAAATCCTTATGATCCAGTTGTAATCAAGAATATCATTTACAAAACATTCTTTACATTTCATATAAATGATAAGATAATGGAATGGATAACTAACTTTGTTAAATTTACAGATATGGTAAATAATTTACATTATGTATTTAGAATGTTTTGTTTATTCTTGCGTGAAGGTGTGTGTATACTGTATAGGTGTGTTAGTCTGTAGGGGTTTATAGGTATGTTGCTGTGTAGCGTGTACCTGTGTGTAGCTGTGTAAGGAGGGGTTTGTAGGTGTACTGTATAGGAAGCCTCAGGTGTCAGCTGTTGCTCTACACCAGGGACCTTCAGGTGTCAGTTGTTACTCTACACCAGGGGCCTTAGGTGTCAGCTGTTGCTCTACACCAGGGAGCCTCAGGTGTCAGCTGTTGCTCTACAACAGGGAGCCTCAGGTGTCTGCTGTTTCTCTACACCAGGGAGCCTTAGGTGTCAGCTGTTGCTCTACACCAGGGAGCCTCAGGTGTCAGCTGTTGCTCTACAACAGGGAGCCTCAGGTGTCTGCTGTTTCTCTACACCAGGGAGCCTCAGGTGTCAGCTGTTGTTCTACTCCAGGGAGCCTCAGGTGTCAACTGTTGCTCAACACCAGGGAGCCTCAGGTGTCAGCTGTTGCTCTACACCAGGGAGCCTCAGTATGACCTGTCACAATAATGTTTTGCCATAGTGACAACACTGATAAAGACAAGAAAACTTTACACATAATGGTAACCAAGATTGGTAGATGTGAGTCTTTGACATGAGGAAAATACTGTTGAGTCAAAGGGAGGAGTGGTGACCAACGTGAAGTAACTTGTGTTCTTCATGATGATGGAGAGGTTCATTATAACAGTTATGGCTCTGTAGTTTGATGGGAACAATAACTGATGCACAACACGCCTACCGCCACTTGCTTTAATCTTCTAGTAGGCAATATTTTTCTTTTCGCAATGCATTTATCTTACTTAATAGACTTTTAAACAATTTAATACAAATCTCATATAATGTAATATGTTTAATTTTCATATTAGATAATGTAAGGTGAAGGAAGAGACTCCTCAGGTCTCCTACCTATATATGTAATATCTAGCAAGTGAATGTTCTTCCTGGCGCACCTCACGGAAATTGACGTATTTTCCAGGTTCCTTATATACACCTGCATCCAATGGCTTTGACGGCAATAAATAGTGACGTAGCACACAGCGTCCACTTCTCCTCCATGGTGCCAAATGTCTTCCTTAACCTGATTTATCCCCTCTCCTTCACCGAGAGAATATACAACGCTATTTATGACGCCACTTTTAACTTATTTTACCATCTTGTACTTTTCTCTATGTGAGTGGCCTTTGGCATTTTTTCTTGTCTCATGAAAAATATTGGGTTTGGTACAGTCAGCCAAATATCCAGTGGTTGTAGTTGAGTTGCCAATTCATTAATATAGTTTCTTCATCATTTAAGCAACAATATGAAGATTTGGAAACTTCTCATAATCTAAGAAAAAATTATTAATAGTTTATTATTATAAAAATGCTACCTTTGGTTTGTTTAATAATTATCCTGACAGTGATACAGCCGAAAATAGATCCACCAATCACAATCACCATTGCATACAGCCTTACTTTACCAAGCATTGCCGCGTAAAATTGCGAGTACGAGACCCAGGTTGGGGACGCTGGATCTTTGGTTGACTGTACATTAGTCATAGACCTGAGAGGTGACCTGAAATTTTAATATTACGGCTATATTTCGGCCCTTTCAAATTAGCTATTAAGATGTCTTTGACCACCAAGTATAAATACCTTAATTAAGCATCATTTCATCTGTGATTAAAAAAAATAATTTTGCCAGAAATATTCTTAAGTGCTGACCAAAGAGGCAAAAATGGCAGCTGTGATGAAGCTGACCTCCTTAAGGGCTGATGGGAGCACCTGAGTTGTTTCATAATTAATTTCGGTCTCAAGCAACTGGCTAAGCTCTTTAACTTTAAACTATATTCCATAATATTAGAGTAAATTGATTAGGCTGGCGTAGAACAATAAGATCTTTAGAGGAGGTGTGATGGCTGGCCAACCCAGACCACCTCCATCACGCATTCCTTGTCCAGTTACACTGCGTTTATTACACTACTGTTATAATGTGACACTGTGTTTAAGGTAGCAAACAGTAAGTGCCATAATCTGGTCCCCCAGGATGGAGGCAGAGTGCCGGCAGATGAAGCTGTGCCAGGAGGACACACCCCTCTCCCAGATAAGGCTCAATGGTACTCTCTTTATTATAAACAGGTGTGGTGATCCAACTCTTGTTTGTCAACCAAAAATTGCTTAATGTACAATGTTTTGCCCTCAATTATCTAACCAAACAGACCATCGCCGTGAGCGGTGTTTAAGTTGTCACCTTCATCTCTAAACTATGTTTTTTCTACATGTAATTAAATGATCTTATTTGGTCTACAGTTACGCTTCTTCAAAATCAGTTCACCAGGTGATTGTCATGTGACCAACAGACAACTTAATGATTCACTAAAATCAGTCCAATATTTTTTAAGAAAATGTCAAAGAAAGGTTATCTTGTTTTTAATTACATTATTTACTGAAAATATAAAGGCAATTTATTTGGTCAATTCTTACAACATCTGGCCACAACTCAAATTTTCTTCTTGACACTGTTAAGACTTTTAATCTACAGTGTTCACATAACTATTACACGAAATAGAAGTAAAAACAAAACATGACGAGTGTGAGGAGCTCAAACACTATCAATTCTTTGATAATGTACAGGTCATCACTCTGCTGAGGCAGGTGTTGTTGTTTACCTACAGCGTGGAGGCCCTGGAGATACCGATCAGACCTTATACTGCCACGGTGGTCCACGCTGGCGGCATCCACTGTAGACCAGCTCAGCCGCTACCACAGGTCAGCCACCACACTCTCCCTGTGGTTAATAACACCTCTTGTTGCCTATAACCAATGATTTACCTGTTGAAGTACGCCTCATATACGTGAATGTTGTGCCTCATGTTACTGTCGTCCACTGATGCATCTGAATCACCAGGAGCTGGAGGACTGGGTTGCTGAGGCCGGTGACGCTGGCTTCATCTTCTTCAGCCTCGGGTCTGTTGTCAAGGCGTCAACTATGCCAGAGGAGTGAGTCTGTTACATGCTGTTGTCCTCTTGTTCTATAGCGAGTCTTGCATGGAATGAACAGCACCATGTCTACTGAGATCCTTGAGACAGTATTTTTTTTAAGGCTAAAGAGTACAAGTATCTCAGGGTAATCTAATCAGTGGGTATTGAGTGTAGTGTAGGGTTTCGTGATATTATGTTGTCTAGCACTCAGGATGGATGGAAACTCTAAGGTGGTGGTTTTCTTATATAATATAAGTTATATGGTAGACAGTCTGGTGCTGGAGATGCCGTGTGGTGAGGGGCTGCTCAGTAGACACGTTCGGTGAGTAGCGTGTTGAAGGAGGTAGATGTGCAGGAGCTTCGTTAGAGAAGATGTTGCCTGTTGCTGGCCTCCAGGTTGAATGAGAGCTGGACAGCGAGGAGCTTGCTTGGAGGAGGTGTTGCGTGTTCAGGAACGTAGAGTAGAATGAATCTCAATGGAGAGACAGAGCTTATATACACAGCCGCCGGAAGTAAACCGTGGGAAGTCGCCGGTTTCTTGACTCCGTTGCTAGGGAAGACGTGGCTGGTTGCTAGGATACTGTGGCATCTGGTGACGGCCCCCCCCCCCCCTGGGCCGCTCGTTTGGTTGCTAGGATACTGTGGCATTGGAATGCAGCTACGCAGTTGTAGGGGAGACGTCCACTACAGTAGCTTACACAGCTTTCTATTGACGTATTTTCGCTAGACAGACATAAAAAAAGATATTCATTTAATAAATAAGATATTAACTATTATGTACAATTGAAAAATAAAATAATAATAAAAAAAAATGCATCAAGGGTAAAAGACCCAACAAACATGACAGCAACCATATGTGAGTGTTGGTACATCAGCCAAGGTAACCAGGAAAGCCATTAGCATGGATGTGAATATGAAAGTGATACTGAAGGATGAGGAGGTGCTCAGCAGCAGCGAGATACAGGTCATAAACAGTAAGGCGACGAAATTAACTGGGAGGTGTTGATTCGGTTTTGTTTCTTATGTAATTTTTTTAACAACATCAGCAGAGCCATGACTGTTAACCAAGGAAGCCGTTCTGTAGCATTTATAGAGGACGAATTAACACTCAAGAACACATATCTGTATTCATCATTTAAAAAAATAAAAAATAACAACATCGGGTTGAATGCTTAATGGACACCCCACTTGTCCGCGAAGAGTAGGGTTGCCATATCTGAACTTTAAAAAAAGAGGACACTCCCAAAGACATCCCCCTCCCCCCCCGCCCGGCAAACACAGGCTAATATACATCATACATGGTATAGAAATCTTTAAAAAAAATTACCTTTGCTTAAGGCTGAACATCTTCATTCCCTCAGCTGCAGTCTTCTCCCCCCACTGTGTGTGACTTGGCGTGCCCATGCGTACTTTTCTGTAGATCGGGGATCTTTTTCAGTATTGGCTGATTGCTCTCTAGAAAGGTATAGAAGTCACTGCAAGATGTTTCTCGGAAGTTGTACTGTACAGTCAGAATGCCTTTCATTGTTTAACACTCAATTTGTTCCTTTCCTTTGTCCATTGGCCTTGCATCAGTGAAAAAACTTTCTACATTTGCATTGCGAGATGATATAGCAAAGAAGAATTGTGCGATTCTTAGCAATTCTGAGTGACATTCAATGTTTGATTTTTCAAAGTATCTGGTCCACTTTTTGTGCTGGCAGATTACTAAATTCTTCATCACTTGTAATTTTCCACAAACTGCTTCAGGTTACTAACTTGATCAAAACACTTCATCAACTTCTACCCCCTTATCAATCAAATATTTGACAGCTAAGTTGACAACACCGTACAGATGTACAAGTGACTTATCAGCTGACGAAAACTGAACGAGATCTCTACGGTTTCCACCTTCCCTCTCTCTCTCTCTCCCGTCATTACAGTTTCATGTTGTTTTTTTCCATGGAGAAAATGATGGAAGCTGAAATTCCGGACTTTTGAAGAATTTTAAAAATTCCTTCCGGATGAAGATTTCGAGACCTAAATGGAGGACATGTCCGGGAAAATACGGACGTATGGCAATCCTAGCGAAGAGGTCTGATTACTTTTGCCTCTGTGTCACCACACTGTCTCCTTCCTTAATTTGCATCGCATCATTATGACTTTCTGTAACGTGTCTGCTCTGCACGCTTCACCCTTGTCACCTGGTGATGGCCTGTAGTAACCTCCTACTCACCACGGTAGGTACAGGAGGGTGCTGGTGGAGGTGTTCGCTTCCCTGAAGCAGCGGGTACTGTGGAAGTGGGACGAGGAGACCATGGAAGACCTACCAGCCAACGTGCGTCTGGCCAAGTGGATCCCCCAACAGGATATCCTGGGTCAGTCACCACTCGTTTTGAAGTAAAATTTTTAAACTTTCCTCATGGCACTACCACGTCAGGAACCAGTCAGATTGTTCCTTCCAATCATTTAACCACTTTATGTTAATCTTCAAGCTATCTGTGCTAGATAAACACTTACAGATTAACGTTATAGTTCTCTAGTTCAGCAAGTTATGACAGTAGTTATGTAGTTTTACCTCAAACACTTGTTATGTTTGTCTGCATCTATGTATTATAATGCAGTTCCCATCTATCGGTACTCACCATGACCGTTCTTAAAAGTGCTTTCTCAGTATCTTGGTTCTTATAAATCTTCAACACCGACTTGTAGTTCTTTCACACAACTTGTTCTTTCTATTCCTCTTCGTTTCGTTTTGTTGATCACTTGTTTCATCTTTCTGTCAGTCCTACACTAGTTCTGTCAGTTCTACACTAGTTATGTCAGTCCTACACTAGTTCTGTCAGTCCTACACTAGTTCTGTCAGTCCTACACTAGTTCTGTCAGCCTTACATATTTTCACTACTCATTTTTTTTATGTTATCTTTGTACTTGTAGGAGACCCTCGCCTGCGACTGTTCATCACTCACGGTGGGTTGTTGAGTTCCCAGGAGGCCACCTATCATGGTGTGCCATTGCTCGGTATCCCAGTGTTTGCCGACCAACAGTACAACGTTCGCCAGATCCGGATGGAGGGCTGGGGCCGCTTCGTGCACTGGAAGGACCTCACCTACGACACTCTCCGTCAGCCGATTCTTGAAATCCTCCAGGACACCAAGTAAGAGTTATGTTAACTTTCTCGGGGTTGACATGATGATGAAAGCAACATCAGCTGTTAGAGTATAACCCAGCGATGTGGAACTTTCCTTGAGGAGTGTAGTAGTTGTGTTTTACTTAAGTGCTACAGTAACAGTGCGTCACTGAAATGCTACAGTAACACAACATGTGGTTGTGTCACGCAATATACAACATGTGGTTGTGTCATGCAATATACAACATGTGGTTGTCACGCAATATACAACATGTGGGTGTCACGCAATATACAGTACAACATGTAGTTGTGTCACACAATATACAACATGTGGTTGTGTCACGCAATATACAACATGTGGTTGTGTCACGCAATATACAACATGTGGTTGTGTCACGCAATATACAACATGTAGTTGTGTCACGCAATATACAACATGTGGTTTTGTCACGCAATATACAACATGTGGCTGTGTCACACAGGATACGGGAGGTGGTAACTCGACGGCAGGCTGTGATGAAGGACCAGCCTATGTCACCTGGGCAGTGGATGACCTACTGGGTGGAGTACGCCCTGAGGCACGGCGGCGCTCCTCACCTCCGTTCTCCTTTCGCCACTATGCCTTGGTTAGTGCCACCGTACGTTGCTTAGTGCCACCATACGTTGGTTAGTGCCACCATACGTTTGTTAGTGTCACCATGTTTTGGTTAATGCCACTATGGCTTGGTTAATGCCATCATATGTTAGTGCCACTATGCCTTAGTACCACTATTTCTTGGTTAGTATTACTATGTCTTGGTTAGTGCCACCATGCCTTGGTTAGTGCCACCATGTCTTGGTTAGTGCCACCATCCATTGGTTAATGCCACTATCCCTTGGTTAGAACCACCATCCCTTGGTTTGAGTCACCGTTTGCGAGGCTGGGCGATATTGCTATTGATAGATTGATGATAAAGGATTGATGTAAAGGAAATTGTACGAGTACTAATTGTACTATGAATTTTGTTCGGAATTTTAGGCGATGAGTCATGTAAATTACTGTTAGAACATCGAGTTGTACTTCAACAAAGCGGTGCTATATTGGCCATGTGCTTATATTGTCAAAAATCGTGTTGACAGTAAAAGTTATGATATTTTCTTTATATAATTCTTATATTCTACTTTTATATTTTGTGCAGCAGATATAATGTTGAATCCCACAATTAAACCCGTCTGTTTTTTGTTTTTTTTGTGTCTTTACAGGTATAAGATGTACAACGTGGACGTGTGGTTGCTGGTGTTGGTGGTGTCCACACTGGCTGTCATCCTCACCTTCTTCATCCTCCGTGCCTTCCTCCACGCCTTCATCTGCGCCTTTCCCCGCGCCGTCTACACACGCCTCTCCACGCTCACTAAATACAAAAAGCAATGATGATCTCCATGTGAATAAACACAAGAATCACTGTGGATTACTAAAGCTGAAGAATAAGGACAACTGAATCTGTGTAGATGAACAACAATAAGAATCACTCAGTAGATGACTATTAAATACCTACCTACCTACCTACATACTGTATACTCGTATATCTATCTAATAGTACCAGATATAGCAACGTAGAATTTCAACAGGTAGATTAAATATCACATGAAGTTATCTTACAACACTTCACATTATCAACAAAGCGAAGGACAAGTCACTCAGCTCCTGACATTAAAAGGTTATAAACACACATACGAGAATACCTAACAGACCAATAAAAGATTTTACATGAATCCTGTAGTTTCTCAATTCAATTCAATTTCAATTGTTTATTCCTTGATAGAGGAAGCGGGATCCTAGTGCTGTCACTAGGTACCCCTGCTACTGTTTCTCATTACAGTATCCTTAAGTTTTGGTGAAGCGGAGTTAATGTTATTGAAGTGTGTGTTGACCCATGGTGGTGAGGGGTATTGTATGTTGACCCATGGTGATGAGGGGTGTTGTGTGTTGACCCATAGTGGTGAGGGGTATTGTATGTTGACCCATAGTGGTGAGGAGTGTTGTATGTTGACCCATAGTGGTGAGGGGTCTAGTGTGTTGACCCATGGTGGTGAGGGGTATTGTATTTTTTATTTATTTATTTTTTATTTATTTTTTTTACAGGATTAGCCCACCCGGGCACAGGTCACTGACCCACATCGGGGCCTGGGGTGGCGAAAATGTAATAATAATAACAATAACAATAATAATTAGTTCAAACTAAATAAAATTTATACCGATAATAAAAAAAAATAATAACACTCATAATTATAATAATAATAATAATAATAATAATAATAATAATAATAATAATAATAAAGAACCACAAAGAAATAAAAAAAAATCAATACGTAGTGAGAAACAATATGTGTGTTGTGTTGTCAAAATTAAGAAAAACAATTGAGACCCTGCAATTGTGTGTAATTGTGGCAGAAAGTCAGATCAGCAACCTGGGACTTGGTCACAATTTTCGTGATGCCATATGGCAGCAGGGTCTCTACCATTAGACAACACATTATGCTTCCAATTTCCCAGGCGGTAGTACCTCCCTGTTTGATAGCTACCTACTACCTGTATGTTGATCCATGGTGATGAGGGGTGTTGTATGTAGATCCATGGTGGTGAGGGGCCTCTGTGGGCTCCAAGAATGGTCGAAGAAATGGCTGCTGAGATTCAATGTCACGAAGTGTAAGAGGATGCACCTGGGGTGTACCAATGGTAAGGAGGCGTATCATATGTCCCAACGGGATGAAGAAAACTGCACTATTTGAGACTGAATGTGAGAAGGACCTAGGTGTGTATGTTGACAATGAGCTGAAGTTCTCGGGCCATTGCGAGAAGGTAAATCAGGCAAATCTATTATTGGGTCTTATAAGAAGGTCGTTCAGATATCTAGAAGGACCGTCCCTCGTAACGTTCTTCAAGAGTGAAGTGCTTCCCCATCTGGAGTACTGTCACCCTGTCTGGTCCCCGAGATATGCTAGGGACTGTCAGTTGGTTGAAAATGTTCAAAGGAAGAGCACCAGACTGGTGCCTGCCCTTCGGCACCTCAGTTACCCTGAAGGACTGGAGCGCCTGAACTTGCCTAGCTTATACTTCAGACCGGCAAGGGGTGACCTAATAGAGGAGTATAAGCATCTCAAGGGGCACTACTCAGTCAAATGCCCTTACTTGGAGCTGGCGGATGCTCGCCCCACAAGTGGTCACAGCTCAAGATTGAAGAAGCCGCAAGTCCAGAAAACTGTGAGGGCAAACTTTTTCGGAGTGAGTTGTGAACTCTTGGAACAATCTACCAGAAAGTGTTGTGACGGCCCCGAGTGTGAGCTCTTTCAAGACCAGACTTGACCAACACTGGAGCGGGTTCAGTTACATTCAGGAGCCAGTGCATTCCCAGTACTTGCCAACAGTGCGTAACAGAGACGTGACTGATCGCTCAAGTGGCTAACGAGCCGATCTTTTGGTGAAGAGGATAAAAGAAAAGGAAAAGTAATCAGAGACGTGACTGATCGCCCAAGTGGCTAACGAGCTGATCAGTGATGAAGAGGACAAAAGTAAAAGTGTGTTGACCCATGGTGGTGAGTTGTGTTGTATGTTGACCCATGGTGGTGAGTTGTGTTGTATGTTGACCCATGGTGGTGAGGGGTGTTGTATGTTGACCCATGGTGGTGAGGGGTGTTGTGTGTTGACCCATGGTGATAAGGGGTGTTGTATGTTGACCCATGGTGGTGAGTTGTGTTGTATGTTGACCCATGGTGGTGAGTTGTGTTGTATGTTGACCCATGGTGGTGAGGGGTGGTGTTGACCCATGGTGGTGAGGGGTGTTGTGTGTTGACCCATGGTGGTGATGGGTGTTGTGTGTTGACCCATGGTGATGAGAAGTGTTGTGTGTTGACCCATGGTGGTGAGGAGTGTTGTGTGTTGACCCATGATGGTGAGGAGTGTTGTGGAACTTCTCGAGAGACATACACACACACACGATAGAGAGGTGTGCGGGAACTAGATGATGCCACCTATGAACCTTGATTGTGCCACCCATGATCTTTAACTGTGCCACCCATGATTCTCCAATGTGGCATCCATGATCCTTCACTATGCCACCCATGATCCTTCACTCCACCCAGGATCCTTCCCTATGCTGCCCATGACTTTCACTGTGCCACCCATGATCCTTGTACATTCTAAAATAAATTTAGGGAGGGATGATCATACTCGTCTCAGCCCACACAGGATGTTTTTTATTGGACGATAATAATCATTTAAGCCCTTTGGGGTTAAAATACTACAAAAAGCTTTTAGTAAAAAATTTTGGTGTACACACTGCTTATAACCAATTAACAAACTCTCTCTTATAACTCTACACCTTTACTGTACATAATTAGAGGATGAAATTTAAGATTACTTACAGTTTTCTTTTATTTAATTTTCCACAGTATTTTCTTGATTTAACCAACTAATTCGAACCACCCCTTTCTTTTAACCCTTACGCCCCCGGCGACGTACCAAGATGCCCGATTAGCGCGCCTCAGGTGACGTTCCAGAACGAGCGCCTTTTCCTGCCACTGTTTGAATGCCTAGCGCGGGTTTATCAGGTTCCAGTGTGACTATTCGTTTGTCACGCCACATGCTCGGCCACAAGGAAGCTTCCTGAAGGAAATTACCTACTTTTTGTTTGTTTCATTTTCATTGTCTGTCCATTTTATGATGGTGTATCAAAGTAATATTGCTAAAAGTAGTGTAGTTGTATTGTAGTATAGTGTAATATTACTGGAAAATAATGCTATGATTATGTTATAAATGTATTTATTTGTGGAATTATTATTATTTTATGCATTACTTGCTCTACCAAACACAAAGACAGCCTGACGACCGACTGCGTGTGTTGCCGAGCACTTTTTATGAAAAATAATGCAAATAAAATATTCTAAATGAATTATTTATAGCATATAAGTATTATGATCAGTAAATATATGTATTACTGGTCACCCTGGACACAAAGGCAAGCTAAAAATAGCTGCTAAGTGAGTAGGTGACCATAAGGCTCGCCGGCATAACAAGCTGTCCCCTCCCTCCGCGATGCCAGGGAAGTTTCTAGTGTCAAAATATAGTTTTTCTTACTTATTTTTTATTGTTATATAATTTAAAAAGGTTAAAAATTATTATTGGAAAAGTTGATTTTTCTCGATTTACCCCCGGGTGGGGGTATGGCCAGCAGCACCCTAACCCAGGGCTTAAGAGTTAAATCAAAATTTCCGCGAAATCGATTTACGTTATTTTCACTCGCTTTAATCAACTATTTCACTAAATTGGGCGTGACTCCATTCAATTTTGCGCCAAATGCACCGCTTGGCGCACGAGGTTTGTTTACATCTGCTCAGTCTCTGTCCTGCCGCCACTGTGTGTGTTGTTCACTGCTACATCTTGGTCAACTAACTACTGTGCTTAGATATCATGCTGAAAGTCTCTCAGAAGTCTCAGAAAGGAAGTGGTGTGGGGGAGAATGTCAAAAGTGCGGCTATCAACTGGAAAAAAGTTCGGAAATAATAGAAAAAATTAAAAACAAACACCGAACCCCTTAGTTTAAGGTAAGCCATTAATAATATTTCTAATGGTTCTATGAACATATCATGTCTGAGGTGTCTCCGTAGGTGTGAGCGTATTAACAGAGTTAATCTCGATTTAGCGAAATAGTTCACTAAATTGAGTGAAAAATAATGGAAAAATTCCTTCTGCTAATTCGAGAGTTGGTTATATCGGATTCTGTTAAATTGAGAGTATACTGTACTGTATTACAGAGAATAAAGAAGGAAAAATTGGACAATGAGGCAATTGGCCGAGTGACTGTGTGTGGTGCAGAAGTCTGCTTGTCTTCAGTGAGTTTGAGGAGTTTAAGCTAAATGGCATTGGTAGAAGATTGGTGACACATTGAAGACTTAATAATATTGTCAGTGTTACAGAATAATTAAATAAGTAAACATACTGATCCCCAAAAATGATAAAAACTGCATTGGGAAAAAATTATGAAAATTACGGCCTCCTTTATACATTATACTTTAGGGTTTTAGTTCATAAATCAAAGCATGGGAAGCAAAAATTTTACTTTGAAAAACCTAAATTAAGAAGTTACCATCACTCCTACCAAGATTCATATACTGAAGCAAAAGTTGACACAACCCATATTTTGCTTGAAAAATGGTGATGTATTAAGACCACCCACCTATTTGCGATAAAAGAACGCATCTCTCACTGCACTTTTGTCAACTGCGATCTACCTACATGCTGCCACCTGGAGCACTACAGTCCCAAGCTTTGACTCATGGTGATTGCACATGCCCATGATTGTGTAGCTCAGTGTATCTTTTTTTACAGTGAGAAGACATCATTCACACTGTAGTACTGTGTTTTGGTAACTACAATGTGATTTTTTATGTTTTTGTGACTAAAGTGCTTTAACTCTGTTGTTCTGAGTAGTGTCGGCCACTATCATTGTTTTTACGTAACCATCGTTTGCTCTGTTTTTTGTGACAAGTGAGCAGTATAACTTTGAAAATGTCTGGGAAGGCCAAGGCGCCCAGGAAAACCGTGTCTCTGAGGGTGAAGCTTAACATTGTGAAGCTGTGTGAGTTGGTGACGTCTTCACTCCACCTTCAAGAGTCCCCTTAACCTCATGGGTAATTTGATGATGACCAGGCGAGTGTTGTTTGTGTTTTATGTATACAGTCAACCCTCACTTTACGCGGTCCCACATTACACGTTTACACGGTGCCCTGCCGGAACCCAGGATGCTCACATTCCGCGGTGCGTGTACCCCTTTACGCGGAGAGCGGCTGGCGAGCCGCGCCATTTTTGGATCCAAACCTCCCGCCATCCGCCATGTTGTGTAAGTGGCGCGAACATGGTGCGCACAAGGTCGACCAGTCATCAAAACATTACCAGTTCTTCACCCGCCACCCACCGCAGCCGGCCCAAGTCAGTGATAGTGATAATTATGGTGAGGATATGGACTTATATGGACTTTGGGGGGTTTGACAAAGAGGCCCTGCAAGCCTCTGTGGTGGATAGTGATACAATTGATACAAGTGATACAGGTGAGGGCCAATAATCTGCCCTCAGCCTCGGAACCAACCGCCCATCCCCGTGTGCCCAGCCATCTTTTCTACTAATGTAAGTGCTAAAAACCTAATATTATTGATATTTCTTTTAATTATTAATTGTGTGTGCATACCATCATAAAGTTAAGATAATATTTTTACTACATCATAGTTGTGTGTCGTCAAAAAGTGGAGTTTGGGGGTCGGCCCGGTCTCTATTTCAATTAATCCCATATGTTATGTTATTCACTTTACGCGTTTCCACTTTCCGCGGTACCCTGTGGGTTACATTAACCGCGTAAAGTGAGGGTTGACTGTATTATTATTGTATAAATTTTATTTTTGGTTATACAAGTGGGTGTTGGTCTGAATGGCAACATATCCCATTGAACCTGATGTTATAATTATCCCAATTTATGATATTTCTACCTGCGATGGGTTTTTCAGGAACGTAACCCCATCGTAAATAGAGGGATACCTGTACAGTAACCCAATAAGATTGTGGCCCTTAAGATATCTAGGCTTGGGCAGCTACCAGTCTAGACTATTGACCTTTCATTTGACTCCACAGTCTGGGCCATCCTAAACTATGGTTAGTATACACTTAACTTGGATTACCATGGCTAGGGTGTGGTTTATTTAGCAAAATAAATAAAAGCCTATTGCAGGCCCTACCCTAATGTATAGTACTGTATCAGATTAGGCTGGTAACCATATCTAGCCGAGTTGATAGGTTATTGTCAGTGATGGTGATAAGATAATGTCAGTGATGGTGGCAGTAGAAGGATAGTGTCAGTGATGGTGGTGGTAGAAGGATAGTGTCAGTGATGGTGGTGGTAGTAGGTTAGTATCAGTGATGGTAGTAGGTTAGTGTCAGTGATGGTAGTATTAGGTTAGTGATGGTGGTGGTTGTAGGTTAGTGTCAGTGATGGTAGTATTAGGTTAGTGATGGTGGTGGTAGTAGGTTAGTGTCAGTGATGGTAGTATTAGGTTAGTGATGGTAGTAGGTTGGTGATGGTGGTGGGTTGGTGTCAGTGATGGTGGTGGGTTAGTGTCAGTGATGGTAGTGGGCTAGTGTCAATGATGATGGTACTGTATTTTGTAGTCAAAAGAATGAAAACTTGCAAAATTTTGAGCCCTGGATATTTACACTCCCCGCTACACAGGCATCTCAGGGATTTCACCAAGGCCTTTCAGGCAAACGAACCAAATAGGAATGAAAAATGATTTTTCTATTTTCCATTCATAAACTTTTTATTTATTTCCTCTCACTAAATGGAAACCTATGTAACAAATAAAAAATTAGAAGGTCTAACTATAACTTATTTTGCCATGATGAATGTTTTTGTATGAATAACATGGACCATGCGACAACCTTTGTCTGTCTGTCTGGTCAGGTTGACTGAACATAAACAACACTATATTTAATTTTTTAAATAAATTGGATTTATGTAATTTTCTACCTGCTTACATAAATTTTATTTCTATTAATTTATATGACTTAAGAAAATAGAACAAATTATTTATGTAGACACTTGTTATAATAATAATTAAAAAAAAAAAAAAACATGATAAGACAACACCTCCAGCCCTACATGTCACCACACTCTACCTCACATCACCAAAACAATACCATGTTCTTTTTAAGTTAAATACGAAAGAAATATATCGCAATGCAAAGACAATTGAATAAAAGTTGTTACCACCTCTAAGCTACATAATGTAGCATGTTAGTCTGTGTCAAGGAGAAAATGAACAGGGGAGGTATAAATATGGGATAAGGCAGGGAGGATAGAGTGGGGGATGGGTACGTAAGAGGTGCAGTGGAGTGGGTGGCAGACTGTAGGGTGTTGCCGAGTTTAAATGTTCTGTTGACGAGTTCTGCTACTTGAGTGATATGATCAATGCCAGAGGTGATGCTGAAGCTAGCCCATTGTAAGGGTCAGAAGTGGCAGGAGAAAGTTTAGGGAGTGGCTGCAATTACTGATGGCAAGAGGACCTTCCCTCAGTGAGGACAAGCTGTATACAACTGGCATGTGAAGTGTAATGTATGACACTCAAACATGGACAGTTAAAGATGACATACCAATGCTTCAGTGAGTTGAATTGAGAATCATGAGGTGGATGTGCACTGTGAAACTGAAAGATAGGAAACCCTGTTCTGAACTAAGAGAATGGCTGGGTATTGCGAGTATTAGTAAAGTTTTGAGTAGAGGTAGGTTTAGATGGTTTAAACATGCAAAGAGAATGGATGAAAATAAATGGGTCAAGAAATGTATGAATCAATAAAACAGTAGGTGGAGGGAAGGAGAGCCAAGGATAAAGCCAAGAATGATATGGGGAGAAGTAAGAAATAACATTAAGAGTTAAGAACCTGATAACAGAGGCTGCAAGAGACTGCAGTATGGGGAGCTGCAATCAGGTAATCGCTATTACCTTGCAAGCAAGGAAAACAACTGTAGAGTTGACGATAATGTTTTAAGTGATGGGTTACTAGTACAGTAGTTTCCACAGTAACCATGGAAGCATTTAATATCTAAGACAGTAGCTTACTCCACTGAAGAAAACTAAACTATGTTGAGTAAATAAACAAATTTAGTACTACAGGTAGTTCTGCTATAACGCGATAATTGTGTTCTTGTAAAATATCGTGTTATAGAAAATCGCGTAATAGAAATAACAGGGCTTATGGAGAAAATAGGGTTAGGTGCAGATTACTCGAAATCGAAAAAATTTAGTAGTTAGCCTAACACAAAGGATAGCACAGTCTAAATAAATGTTACATTCATATCTAATAATGAAATCATACAGTAAATTTAACACTTTACCTTGAAAAAATATGAATGTAACTTGATGGGGGAGAAGGGTGATTTTGAGGTTGATAACATCGAGCTTCTCTTCAAGTGTTATATCCTTTCTTTTACGATAATCACCGGGAATTCTATCATCAGAACGCTTTTTGGAGATATTCTTCTTTACCATATTCACAGTTAATACCACAAAATTGGAGAAATAGTAAGCAAAAATCGCGTTATAGCAAACAAGCGTTCGCGTTATACAAATACTGTTCCGAATTCATAAATCGCGTTAGAGCAAATTCGCGTTATCAAAACACGCGTTATAGCAGAACTCGCTGTAGTATATAAACATAAAATAAATGTATTTTTATAAAGCTTTTTCAATTTGTATTATTTTTTATGAGGGCTTATTTACAAATGTGACATAGCAAATATAGTAGCCAAAATAAACACTGCCCATGAAATACTGTTCCAATGACAACATGTACAACTACATACTCTCCAAGGTACCATGCTATACTATACTTGTGTTACACAGTATTTGGATTGACATAGTATCAAAAGAACAAACTCACAGTTATAGTATATGTAGCTTACAAATGTGGATACAGTTTTCAATGGTTAAAATATACAGATTCCTAATAACCAAAATATTTTGTGAATTCCACAAAAGAGATAATCTAAGGGAGCAGCTTCTCTGGGTTCTTGACACGACTCTGCTCCATACACTGTGCCAGGTCAGCCAGTGACACTTGCAGGTCGTTGTTGTGTTTTTCAATCTAAGGAAATAATTGCAATTTCAGTCCTCCTACTCAGAATTTTTTAATTTGAGCTTATGATGCAAATACAAATGACAATAATGGCACATGAAAAGAACAAATACGAGATATTCAAGCACGGGATAAAACTTAAAATCTGATGAGTAATATTTCCTCTGCAAAGAGGAATAAACTGCAAATGCAAGTACAGCTGTAATTTTGCATTTGTTTCACACGAGTCTTCATCGCCAAATAAAATATAAAGACTAATTACTCTGCCCTTATAAAAATGCATCTAGTATAAGTACCATAGCACTTCATTCGTAACTTACCGTATCAATAATCTTTTTATAGTTGGCTGCAATAATGCGACCAATGTTGGCAGTCTGCCCATTCAACTGTTGTATATCCTGCATTATCCTCATACGCTCAGTCTCCATCTCCTGAGACACAATCTCCTCTTCTGTACGGCTCTGACGTACTTGTTCTAGCACTCTAAGAGATGCAACAATTCATAAAAAAAAAATTAGTAGTGGGTTAAATATGAACAAATAAATGGTAACATTAATGCTTGGTTAGAATTACGTCAAACAACTGAAAATTTTGCACAGAACTGCTATTTTTTGTCATTGTTACCTCAAAATGTTTTGGTAACCAAGAAAATGATGGTACAGTGTAGTCTGGGTTTACGCGGATATTTTATACGCATTTGGCCATTTACGCGGCACCTGTCGAGACGCGCCAATTATTAGTTACGCGGTACATTCCTTAATTTATGCGGCAAGTGGTGGGCAAGCGGCTGGTCGCTGACGTCACCGCTGATGTCTGACTCGTGCCGATGACGTCGTGAACTGTGATTGGGCCACGTATCCTTACCACTCACGCACCCCCTCCGCCGAGCGCTGTGATTGATCTATTTAACCTTGCTTGCCCAGTCAACAAAACATTCCCGAGTTCTTCACCCACCACCCACCCACAGCCAGCCCAAGTCAGTGATAGTGAGGATATGGACATTGAGGGGTTTGACAAGGAGGCCCTGCTAGCCTCTGTGGTGGATAGTGGTACAGGTGATATAAGTGATACAGGTGAGGGCAAATAATCTGCCCTCTGCCTCGGAACCAACCCCCCATCCCCGTTTGCCCAGCCATCTCTTCTACTAACGTAAGTGTTAAAAAACCTAATATTAATGATATTTCTCTTAAATATTAATTGTGTGTGCATACCATCATAAAATTAAGATGTTATTTTTACTACAACGTACGTATTGTGTCGGAAAAAGGGTAGTCTGGCAGTTGGCCCAGTCTCTATTTCAATTAATCTCATATGTTCTGTTATTTTATTTACGCGTTTCACGTTATACGCAGACCTCCACGGGTTTAATTGACCGCGTAAACCCAGACTATACTGTACAGTGAAACATTGAAGATCAGGACTAAAATGGGAGACCACCTGTCCGAAAAAGCCGATTGTTCGAATCTTCCGGCAAATGTACTAAATGTATAAAAACGAAAAATAACAATAAAAAAATAAATAAATAAAATAAAATACAGTACATATTATCTTGACCACTGGGATTAGTTATACAGCCTTTTTCATGTGAAAAAGCCATAATTTTGAGAAACATATTATTGTACTCAAATGTACAGTTAAACATCGATAAATCGGACTTCAATATGTTGGAATTCGCTTTTTTTGGACTCTGAGATGCTCTGGTCACCAGAAATACTAATAAAAAATAAATAAATAAATAATTAAATTAAAAATAAGAAACAAGGAAGATTAACAAAGAAAAAAAAATCTTATGAAATGAACAGCACTTACTGAATGCTGTACAATGGTCTAATTAGATTTGCTATAGGCCTACTGAGAACCAAGACACTTGAGCATGTGTTGCCACATTTGTCAGGTTTATTTATTTATTGATTCAGCATTATATTCTCATGATTGGCCTCTTATGGTTTAAGGTTCACCATGATTAATATAACATCTGCAATAATAGATAAAATATACAATACTGTATGTAATTTGTAATATGACTTGAAAATAAACATCATCACTGAGGGGGGGTTACCTGTCAGAACAGGTGTTTCATGTGGACGAGACTGGATTATTTGAAGAAAATTCCAGATAGAACAAACATTACCTAAGAGGAAAAGAGCGAGCCAGGTTTTAAGGCTGTATTAAAGGGTATAGCTGTACCAAATATCCACAATCTTTTCATTTTTTACAATATGTTTGGTATCTACAAGAGTAAAGTTGGACTTACAAACAAGCCTCAGGAATGTAACTCGTTCGTAAGTAGAGGAGCACCTGTATGTGTTCTGTCTACACACACATACACACATACCGTATACAATACAATGCTGTACATACTGTATATACAATCAAAAAGAAATGTATTAAAAATACAGAGTCTACCCTCAAGTCTATTCCGTGCTTTGTTATTAACAAAGCATGGAGTAGACTTGAGGGTAGACTCAACATTTTTAATATACATTTGTTTCTGATTATTTGTGAGAGGATTTTGCCATTACAGTCAGTTCTGCTATAACGTGTGTTTTGTAAACGCGAATTGGCTATAACAAGATTGATGAATAGAAGAACGATATTTGTATAACGCAAACGCTTGTTGGCTGTAACGCGATTCCACTCGAACGTTTTAAGTGTACATGTACAGGTACAGTACTGTCGTTTGGCGCGGGGTTATGCAGTGTTTACATTTCACGTTCGACATCACATGTTTAATTGATTCACGTGTTTTGTTTGTGAAGTGTTATTTGATAGGGACTCTATAAATTTCATCCTTTTTTTTTGCAAATTTAGCTATCATTTGCATTCTAATGGTCCAGTTATTTAACATTATTTTAGAGAATAACAGGTCTGCTTACCATTTGTGAACACATTTATTATGAATAAACGGATAACGACACGAACATTTTCTATGAACCAATCAGCTATTTGTAGCTATAGTGAGGGGTGTGGCTTACGGGCCAGGTTAGTGTGGAAATACTATAGAATTCTATCGTATCAGTAAATTATTGAATGTTTTATTACTACTTTCAAGATTTTGGACACAGTAGGTATGATTCACTGAGCTTCATTCTTGTAAACAAACTCACTGGTAGATGACTGAGTTCTCCTAAAACCTCCCTTACTCTTGCATATTTTACCTCTTTCCTAATCTACTTACAGCTGTCCTTGAAATCTTACTTATTCTTCCTGCCAAAAATTTATTTACACTTCAGTTAAGCTACTTTATTTTCAAAACAAACACTTTATGTTGTTTTCCATTTGTAGCAAAATTTACATCTGTCCAAATTTTCAATTTTTATTTCTGATTCAGGCATTATTTATAAATGTTCTGTCCATCTCACTGTTCTTCTCTTTCCCTGTTCCATCTTTACACTTATCAACTTCTCTGAAGGAAACCAAAAATAAAATGCAAGAAAAACTGTGGCAATGGCACAAAATTATCCGAGCTTATGGAAGGCTTGGGATACTTGTCATATAGTCCACCCTCTTACTGAAAAAAATTGAGAGGGATTATACTGTACATTGAAATATAGATGTCCAAAGTACTCACAACTTGAGTTGGTTGAGATCTTCAATGATACTCTCCTGCTTTAAGTTCCACGATTGCCGCATCTGGGAGACCTTCCCCTGTCTAGATGCAAGCTGCTCAGTTAAATGCTGAATCTGCATAGTATTGTCTTCAGTCCCCTCCAGTAGTGCTGCTTTATCTTGATCTAGTTGTGACAAGCTTGTCTGGATTTCTCTGCAAATAACCAGATTGTAAAATCTGTTGAGCAGGTTCAGAAGGTGTAGTAATAGCACTGAAAACTGACACACCACTAACTCTTGAACCAGAATGGAAAGAAGTGGAAGGGCCAGGAATCAACACTGCCCACCACATGATCTGGATTAAGGAGGGTTCACTCTATTTAAAAATGTAGTCTGGGGGTGCAAGAGCTAATAAAGGATAGACAACCCTGCTGCATGCAATACAAGGTCCCAAATCCATAAGCCCACAAATTGCCAAAAAAATTTAAATTTTTGTGAAGAGAAAATTCTAAACCTGTGCTAAAACAAAAAGACATTAATCACCACTTTGTTCATGTGTCATGCTCCTGGGGTCTGGGTTAAGTTTATCCCACAAATGTTGTGAATATATCTAACTCAATGTAATTCTAAAAGCATTTCAACATTATTTTTATACCTTATCCCTCATCAGCCAGTTAGATGTAGTTTCACATCTCCATCATCACAGGAGAGACACAGTTGAACAAAATACTCTTTTTATCAAAGGGTTACAGTACATTAGCAATATAAGTAAGTTCATGAGTTACCCAACTCTCAGTGCCTCAAACAAATAACTTCTGTCAACTTACTTGTTCTTTGTAACTTCTTGTTGAATATCTTGTAACATTACTAAGAGCTGATTATTTAGGACTTCTACAGTAGCATTACTCGTTTGTACCAAATGTTTGAGTTCTGTCAGGCGTTCACGCTTTTCCTGATTCACACTTTGATGAGATGCCACTTTGCTATCTCGTTCCTGAATTTCTTGATGCTCAGTGACTTGCACCACCTGGCTTGAAAGCACCTTTGTCCTCTCCTTACCCTGATGTAAAACAGGTTAGCAAAATTTTTAAATGAAAGTTTAAGAGGATTGCATTAGACTTTAAACACAGGAATTATTCCCTTAATCATTTTTGACAAGGATATTGCCTCTGGTCAATTCTCAATAAGTCAGTAAAAAAAAAGAGAGAAAGAGAGAGAGAATGACCTAAACCATAACTGCAAAACAGGAGATACAGTACGTTGCATAATGATTTGACTGACTAGATAAAACTTACATATTTTGGTATGTTTTTACTTTAGTACATGAGTCCCTAGGGTTGACCAATATGTATTTCCAGTGTATTTTGGCATGTTTTAAACAAATCTCGCCTTCATTTTTGTCGGAAATTCATATTTATTTTATATTTTTCCTAGGATTTTGTGTTAAGAATTCACATGACTAAATCATGCTCAGAATGCATTACTTTAGCCCCATTTCTCAAAACAATTTCCTCACTGTTAAAGAAAATACCCCTGCTTCTCCCTTTGTCATCTGCAGAAAAGAATTCATGAATTCATTTAGTTAGGATATTTTTTTCAATAAACTAATTTAATGTACTCAGATGGTTGTCATTACATTCATGCAGGTCAAGTAGCTGAAGATCATTAACCATTAATAAGTCACAGTGTATAGTATCTTCGATTACCTTCAAACTTTTATCTGTGAAGGGTTAAAATATGCACTCCTGAATAAACTAATGCAGCATTAATATTCCAGTTATTTCATCGGTGTAAATTAGTAAAAAGGCACAGAATTAAGAAAACTACAAAATATACAAGAATTTGCATATGCAGAAATCTAAATACAAGTCATTTTATTGACACCATTAATATTTTACGGCCATTCTCCACACTTGTCGGGGCTTACCGGTAGCTGTGATTTCACCCCCCCCCCCCCATTACTGCAAACCCAGGGCTTCAGCCCAGAAAATGCAGCAGAGACCAGAGGAAGGGCACAGTTATGGTAGCCCAGTTGCCATCAGTTATGTTGAAATAAAGTGAATGACTGGATGCCCTTCCTAATGCCAACACACTGGGTGGGAACAGCTGGCAAAGCAGGGTCGCAACTCGCTGAGGTAATCAACTACAGTACCCACCCAACCTATTAGGAAGACAACTAGTTTGAGTGGAACTGTACACACACTACACATAAAGGTGGCAGTGATCCTCTCATACTAAGAAGTAAGAGGTCTATTTTCTTATCTACTAAAGACAATGAAACAACAGAGAGAGAAACTGACATGCCATCCAAATGCCCTGGTTTAAACTTTACCCTTCTAATGCAGGGAGTTGCCAACACCTTCATTCTCACCTCAATAACCTCCAACTCAGCATCCTTCTTGGCTGTTATTAGAGTGGATATATCCATCTTGAGGGCTTCCATTTGAGACTTAAGGGTAAGCCTTATGTCTTGACATTTTTGCAATTTATTCTTCTCTTCTTCTATCCGTTCTAATTCCTGAAGTAAATAAATAAATAAGGTCCAGTAATTATCATATAAATTTTGTACAATGACACCCTTGCCATTTTTTCACTTTAATATAAATATATACTGTACTGTTTTTAATTTCACAAGTACAGTAGACAAAGAAAGTTCTTCTGAGTTCTATACACTACCCCAAATAAGAAACCTTTACACAAGTTAATAGATTTCCAGTTTTTTATACCTGATAAACTCATAAAAGTGTGTCCTAAATTATTCAAACTGTTGATTAGTCAAATGATTTTGAGACCATTAAAAAGAAATGTTAAATGCTATCATACTTTTCTGAGAACTCCTTCATTAGAAAATTAATGTTACCCAAGATTTCTGTAAAGTAGCAGAAATCATCAGAAGCATTATACATTACGTACTAAATATCAGGCACAGAGGTCATCCCATACAATACTCATATAAATTTCTCAGGGAAAAATTTATTCCCAAACAAAAAACCAGTGAATTATGACGAGCTCTCCAGTTCTATCAGTATCAGTAATATCTCCGTTAGCCGGAATCCTTCAAACCCAGAACTCTTTGATAGCCGGAACTGAAATTTTCTCGGAAAATCGTTCCCAAAGCCGTAATTTTCCGGAAAATTCCAGCTTTGGGAACGATTTTCCAAGGGGCACATTGTCCGGAAATTTGTGGGAAAATTTTCCAGACACCCGGGGATGGAGTTTTTTCCGGGTTTGAGAGATGAAAATCAGGCGAATTTTCTGGAAATTCAGAGAAAATTTTTGTTCCCTGAAAAATTCCGAGGATGAGGGATATTTTTCCTGGTTCGAGAGATGATGTAATGGGCAATTTCTGGAACCTAAAAAAAAAAAAAAAAAAAAAAAAAAATCCTGTTACCCAGGAAATTCCTGGGATGAGGGATTTCTTTCCGGCTTTGAGAGTCGTCTCGTTACCTGGAAATCTCTCATTCCCAGAAGTGCTCAGCACCAATTGTTTCGGCTAATGGGGAATATCACTGTGCAGTATTCATGACAGTAGTGCCAGAGAAAGTGAACCTGTGTGCAGGAGGAGCTCATGGTCTCGCCTGCTAATTTCAATTTTGCGGTATAAGCTGGCAAATGCAGAAAATGCCATTAATATATATATATATATATATATATATATATATATATATATATATATATATATATATATATATATATATATATATATATATATATATATATATATATATATATATATATATATATATATATATATATATATATATATATACAATAGTTGTATTCCGCGGTCAATTGAACCCACAGGGTACCGCGTTAAGTGAACAACAGAACATATGGGATTAATTCCAATAGAGACTGGCCCGACCCCCAAACTCCACTTTTTGACAACACACAACTATGTTCTAGTAAAAATAACATCTTAATTTTATGATGGTACATGCACACAATTAATACTTAAGAGAAATAGAGAAATACAGTCGCCAAGTTAATGTCCATTCAAATAATGGACTTGACTCCCTCCCCCTCTTCTCACACTACACTGCTGGCTCTTCCCTCTCTGAGAAATTTTGGGGGGAAAACCACTAGATTTTAATAAATAATACCTCAAACTAAAGTTAGGATAATATAATTGACATTGCTGGTTTCCTTGTAAGACCAGGAATATTTTGAATATAAATGTCATATATTTTGCACAAAAGATAACATACAGTCAGCCCTTAACATTCGCGGGGGTTAGGTAACAGAGATACCCGTGAATGTTAAAAATCCGTGTACTATTGCTGCCCCCCCTCCTAAAAAATCCCTGGCCCCCCATGTCCTTATTTACCGTATATACCTGTGTGTAGTTAGAGTTTTTAAGACCAAATTATTTGGCAAAAATTGGGGGTCGACCTCTAAACGGGTAATAGTTTCGTTAGGTTGAAAAATATTTACCAGTAACTACAAGTAAACAATGGAAACGATGCACCAACACACCACCAGCTGTGAGTGTCGGTACAGTTGCCAGGGCAGATCTCTTGCAAGCCCAAAGTAGCCAAATCCATGGTATGGTAGCACAGGACGATGTAAAACAAAGTATTCATTTATTAAAGTTAATTTATAGATACTGGACATAAATTTTTGTTCATTTCATTTGAAACATCAATCTTTGTTAATTAAATTTGAAACAAGAGAAAACTACGATACTGGATTTTCATTAAAATATTACATCACAAGTATATTTTACCTTAACTGTGACTGAATGAATATATTCTCGGAAATAAATATGGAAATGTAATATTTTTACTGGAATGACGTACATATTATAGTGGGAAGTGGGATAAAATCATGAGGAAAGACTTTCGCTTTCTTTCGTTGTTCAAAATATTTTACCGTAATCGCTTTTCGAATGGTTTTCAGTTAAAAAACTGTTGTACTCGTACTGTATTGCAATAATATTCTATCCTATCATTAGCCTTATAATCCCACAACTGAAAACCATTCGAAAAGCGATTACGGTAACATCTTTTGAACGAAAGAAAGCGAAAGTCATTGCTTTCGTCACTTTCCACTGTAATACGTACATCATTTCAGCAAAAATATTACATTTCCATGTTCTCAGAAATAAATGGTAGTTTTGTTGAAACGTAATGTACAGTATTTAACATTAAAATGCAAAAATAGCTATAAAAACAATTAATACACCCGTAATGTACTGGCTGGCATCTCCACTCGTCCCTGCCAGTCACCTCCTCCCCGCTCTATCCCTCCGCCTCCTCCCCGCTCTATCCCTCCGCCTCCTCCCCGCTCTATCCCTCCGCCTCCTCCACATCGTCACTACTGTTGTATTACAATAATATTCTATCCTAATTGACTTGAATAAATACTACGATACCATATTTCTGAATATTTTCATTAAAATCCATCCAAATCATTTTCCTTGCCATCGTCTGCAGCACCAAACAGCTTCTCCCAGTCCTCTCCTTGAACAGGGCTAGAGGGTACGTGTTTTTCGAATCGTTTTCAATTTAAAAAATGTTACATCACACGTATGTTTTACCTAAACTGCGCCTGAATGAATATATTCTTGGAAATAAATAGTAATTTTGCTGAAACGTGATGTATTTCAATGTAAAATAGGATAAAATATATGACGAAAACAAAAGACTTCACCTAACCTTCCAATGTTCAAGAGATGTTACTCGTTTTTTAAATAGTTTTCGGTTAAAATACTGTTATATTACAATGATATTATATTCATACTGTGTTTGATATACTACATTCGCAGAAATGAAATATTTTTGCTGAAATGATGTAAGTATTACAGTGGAATGTGGGACAAAATCGTGACGAAAACAATGACTTTCGCTTTCTTTCGTTCAAAAGATGTTACCGTAATCGCTTTTCGAATGGTTTTCAGTTAAAAAACTGTTGCATCACAAGTGAATTAGGATAGAATATTATTGTAATACAACAGTTTTTTAACTGAAAACCATTCGAAAAGCGATTACGGTAACATCTTTTGAGCGAAAGAAAGCGAGTCATTGCTTTCGTCACTTTCCACTGTAATACGTACGTCATTTCAGCAAAATATTACATTTCCATATTCTCAGAAATAAATAGTACTTTTGCTGAAACGTGATGTATTTCAATGTAAATTAGGATAAAATACATGACGAAAACAAGAGACTTTACCTAACCTTCCGATGTTCAAGAGATGTTACTCGTTTTTTTAGTAGTTTTCGGTTAAAATACTCTTATATTAGTGATATTCTATTCATACTGTGCTTGATATAATACATTCACGGAAATGTAATATTTTTGCAACTACAATGCTGATGTCAACACAAGTGTGGTTACAGCGAGACTGACTGAGTGAGGGAGAGCTATGCGTGTGTGTGTGAGGTTGCGGGAGCGGGCGGTGTCCCGTGTTCGGTGCCGCGCGCGAGTTGAATGGCGCGCGATTTGAATGTACTTCAATTACTTCAATGTACAGAATATTCCTCTGGCGGGGCAATCCGCGTATTTGCGAATCCGTGAATGCTAAACCCGCGTATGTGAAGGGCCGACTGTATTTGTCTAAACCCGCGTATATGAATGGGTATGACTATATATATATATATATATATATATATATATATATATATATATATATATATATATATATATATATATATATATATATATATATATATATATATATATACACCTAGACCCCGACTTACGACCGTCGGGACTTACGACCGCCTCAGATATAGATAAAAAAAAAAAAAAAATTTTTAAATGACACACGCATTTTCTATACCGAAACGTTTCCAGTTAATGTAGTCTCCATGTATAATTAGAAAATTATGGGGGCCCCATGTGCATTCAGCTGACTACATTAAAGGTTAAGTGCTCAGTCACACTGTATCCATTCCTTATTATTTATTACTTTCACTGTACTGTATCCATTCATCATTATTCATTACTTTTACTGTACTGTATTTCATTGTAGATTTTTTATTAAAAAAAAAAAAAAAAAAAAAAAAATTTATCTATATCGGACTTACGACCTGGATTTGGGTCCCTAACCCCGTCGTAAGTCGGGGTTTAGGTGTATTCTTCACACGTGCCAGATGGTCGGTCGGTCCCTTCCTCCCCCCACTAACCCTCCCTACCAGATGTGTGGGAAAACCAGAATATTTACCTTTTTAGTAATAAATAATACCTCAAACTAAAGTTAGGATAATATAATTGACATTTCTGGATTGCTTGTAAGACCAGGAATATTTTGAGTATAAATGTCATATATTTTGCACAAAAGATAACATATTTACTCAGAGTAAACATTATATCTAAAATTTGTATGTCTAATGCAAAATCTATGATGTTTATATTCAAAATGATCATCATATTGTAAGAATTCCAGCAATGTAAATTATATTCTGGCCGGGTAATTTGTATGAATTTTATGAGCTAAATAAAAAAAAAATTATATATATACTTCACCGCGTATATGAGTAGATGAACCGCGTTAAGTGAAAGTTCGGTTCTGGCGGCGAGGCACCGCGTATATGAGAAATCGCGTTAAGTGAAACCGCGTTAAGCGGGGTACAACTGTATATATATACTGTATTTACAAATTTTGAAATTAAATATGAGTTGCCGTTAAATCAAAGCAAAACCTGTACTGTATTGGGAATGGTATTTCTATAGTTTTTCTTTTTCCTTTTTAATAGCTTAAACCAGATTTTTAGCTCTTAACGATAACTTATGCACTACATCTCCCTCATTTGAACTCAACAATAAAGGAAGGAAAAAGTAATAGGTGTATTATTAGAATTCACAGATTACCAACACAACTGACACTAGGGTGTAAAAGGATTCAAAGACCCTCTCGTATAGGGGCCTGTGGACCAAATGTGACCCACCTGACCCCGGGGTGCAGTCAGCTGAGATTTATTGAAAAATATTTTCAAGTTATTAGCAAACATCAACAAGTGGCTAAGCATAACGCCATCAGTAATATAAACCTGAAGTCAGAATTGAGATGTGCCATGAATGAATAAACCCCACAGTTCTCTAGACTAGTTAAGTCTGGTAAATACCAGCATTTTCATTGACTTCATTGATTAGCACTAGGCCTGTAATTTGCACCTTTTATATAAATGTCTGTTAAAGCAGCATTCTTTATGACTTGATAAAAATTGGTCAGTACAGTATTAGAAATCAGCCTATGACTGTGTACTAAGTACTTAAATACAATTAAACCTGATTACCTGGTATGACTGCTTATTTATTACTGCTAAAAATACACATTTTTGAATGGTCATAGGCTATACTTCATCAATGTTGCCACTAAAAATTCAAGCAGTCCACACCAATTTAGATTTCTGATCTTTTGGCCCACTACAAGTGTTAAGAAAGCTAGAAAATTAATAAATTAATAAAACAGCACTAACTCAAACACTTACCTGCTCTACTCGAATCTGATTTTCAGCATTCTCCAGCTTGACATTTCCAATCTTCACCTGTAACTGCTTGCAGTTTTCAAGCATCTTCTCCTTTGCCTCACGTTTTATGCGGGTCTGTAATAAAGAAGTTTTAAAGTCTCCTCACTTAAGAGTGTATTACCTGAAGTTAGTAACATCCAGGACTTGTTACTCAAGTTTTTCTCTAAAGTGAACACATGAAACAAGAAAATAAGCACAAACAACTTAATTACAGCCTCACTGGTATAAACTGTGAATACAGAACACATTCTTCAACCGTTTTTAAGTTGAAATGTTCGGAACTCAGAATTTTGTTTTTTACTTTACATACAGTTAGTGCTACAAAGAAATACTGTACGTATATATTCATCATCCCGCCAACTAATCATATGGAATGCATCACTTAATTCGTTGTCAGCCGAGGCATCATCTACATGAATATCACCAAACAGCCATATGGTAAACTATAGTCCAGGCATTGTTTTTTCTTGGTTACATGTCTATCATTCATTATAATTTTTTTTTAACCTCACAGTGAGAGGACATCACTAAAATTCACATTGTACTGTATAGGTAGTAGGTAATATGCAGCTACAAAACAGGGAGGTACTACTGCCTGGGAAGATATTGGAAGCATAATGTATTGTCTAATGGTAGAACCTGCTGCCATACGGCATCACAAAAATTGTGACCAAGTCCCAGGTTGTTGATCTGATTTTCTGCCTCATTTACACAATTGCAGGTTCTCAATTGTTTCTCTTACTATTGACAACACAATATACATACAGTATATTGTTTCTCACTTGATCTTTTTTTTCATTTTTGTATTTATTATTACAGGTATTATTAGTGTTATTATTATTCTATTTTAATTTTTTTATTTTTTATTATAAATCTTATTTACAATGAATTATTATTATTACATTTTTGCTCCCCAGGCCCCGATGTGGGTCAGTGACCTGTGCCCGGGTGGGCTAATCCCGGAAAAAAAAATTGAACAAGTGGACCTGACATTGTATCAGGTCAGGTCAGTAACATGAAAATCTTTAATTCCCCACCACACCTCCATCACAAGTGTTAAGACGTAAAAAGTAATTGGATACATATTACATTCACCAGATTGGACTGTATATTCCTACTGTAAGCTCAAGACGACAGTAACTTGTTGTAATAGACATTATTTTGTTTATTTATAACATATTGTACATGTACAGTGATGTTTGCATAAATACAGCTCTTTTGTGCGTGAGATGCGTCGCTTACTCTCGGGAAAACTCCCCAGTACAGGGTGGAGAATTCCACTGTGACACACAACTCCTTTCATGAGGTGCCTCACACGCCCATATCATATACAGTGGTCCCTCGGTTAACGAACGCCTCGGTTCACGAACTGCCTCCCATAAGATTCTTAAATTCGGTTAACGAACAAAAATTCGGTTAACGAATTTCTTACGAACCGACCTCAACATGTTTTCGCTTGCACTGGCCGGTCAACCAGCTTTAGTATTAGTCCGCCAATATATTAATCGGTTCTAGGGCTTAAATTCCTTACTATTTTAGTAAATATCAATTAGTAAAAATTAAATTTTTTAGTAATTTTAACAATTATTGAACATAATTGAAGGTAAAGTGACTAGTTTAATGCGCGGCATCCAGCCTCTTAACACAGCAAACAGGCGTTAGTCTCTCTCTGTTTTCACTGGAGGTAACATCTTGCTTGAGACTCTCTTCAACTAAATGCTTTTTTTCTGTGTTTCCAAGCAAATTATTGGTCATTTTGAAATTTATTTTACATATTGACAATATATAGCACAGTGCAGTGTTATTTTAAAGAAAATATTCTTTATTTACAACAAGTTTAACTTTGAAAAACACGTGTTGACATTGTTTGAATCCAGCATGGGGCCTAAGAGATCAAGAAAAGCTATTTCAATCCAAACCAAGCAGGAAATCATAAAAAAGCATGAACAAGGCATTAAATCAAATGTGCTTAGCAAAGAATATGGCATGTCGGCATCAACTGTGTCGACAATTCTTGCACAGAAAGACAAATTTAAAGAAGTGAAAGTGAGAGACAAATCTACAAGAGTGTTTAAAAGTAGATCCCGAATCGCAGAAACTGAGAGGTTACTTATCATCTGGATTAGGGAAAAACAGATGAAAGGTGATTCAGTTTCTACTGAATTCATTTGTGAAAGAGCCAGGGAGATTTACGAACATTTAAAGGCAGATCAACCTGGTTCTTCAGGCACAGAATTTGAAGATTTTCGGGCCAGCAAAGGCTGGTTCGAAAAATTTAAGAAAAGAAGTGACATTTTCAGTGTTGTTAGGCATGGTGAAGCTGCTAGTGCTGATAAAGAAGGGGCAGCAAAGTTTTTAGTTGCATTTAAAAAACTGATGGAAGAAGAAACTTATCTTCCACAGCAAGTGTTCAATGTGGACAAAACTGGGCTGTTCTGGAAAAAGATGCCCAAAAGAACATTCATCACCAAAGATGAAGCCTATTTACCTGGGCATAAACCCATGAAAGACCGTCTCACTCTATTGCTTGGTGCCAATGCTTCAGGGGATTTCCGACTGAAGCCTATGCTTGTCTACCACTCTGAAAACCCCAGGGTGTTCAAGCAACAGAAAGTGGTAAGAACAAAGCTTGGAGTTTATTGGAAGTCCAACCGTAAGGCATGGGTGACAAGACAGCTCTTTAATGAATGGGCTGTTGATGTGTTTTGCCCTTCTGTCAAGAGCTACCTAACCACCAATAAACTTCCTTTAAAGGTTCTTCTCCTCATGGATAATGCTCCTGGTCATGACCCTGACCTTGCCAGCAATTTGGAGTATCAATTTGACTTTGTGAAAGTGTTGTTTTTGCCTCCAAACACTACATCAATCATACAGCCAATGGACCAGAATGTGATCAGCAACTTCAAGAAGTTGTACATGAAGAAAATGTTTAGGAGGTGTCATCAGGCAACTTCCAATGATCCTGAACTAACACTGAAACAGTTCTGGAAGACACAATTCAACGTCATCATGGCAAGAAGTCTCCACTAGATCCCTCAATTCTTCATGGAAAGCACTGTGGCCATCAGTAGTCCATGATTTTGAGGGATTTGAGGAAGAAACAGAGTTGGACAAGGAGATTGTGTCCATTGGTCAGTCATTGGGCCTTGAAGTGGAGGAGGAGGATGTGGATGAGCTTGTGATGTCTCATGAGGAGGAACTTACTCCTGATGACTTGAAGCAACTGGATGAGATGTTACAGGTAGAGGCTGACAGTGGTGAGGAGGAAATTGAAAGTGATGACCATATGTCAGCTAAACAGTTGAAAGATGTGATTTACTACTGGGAGAAGTTCAGGGAACTGGCTTCAAAGCACCCAGAAGTGGAAAAAACTGAACTAACTTTGTGTCATGTTGAGGACTCAGTGGTCTCCTTCTTTAAACATAAGTTAATGGTGAGGAGGACAGATGCCCCACAGACCACAATTGACACTTTCTTCAGTAAAAGGCAGAGGGAACAAGATGCTATCCCTCAGCCTTCCACTTCAAGGAGAGAGGATGTTCATGGTGGAGAATCTGTCAGTCCAGAGGTTCCAGACATTTTCATGGAAGGTGACTCACCTTCCAAGAAGCAGTAAAATGCTTCTCCTCCACTTCCTTTCCTTCTCTTCTCCCTTCTCCTCCTCCACCTCCACTTCCTTCTCTTCTCCCTTCTCCTCCTCCACCTCCCACTTCAAATGCACATCATCATCCAGGAGCCTTCTACATACACACCTCAAAGTAAGTGAACTTTTCTACCATTTTTGTTGAATTACGGAAATTTTCGGTGAGCTGGAACCAATTACCCAAAAACCCATTGAAACAATGGTTTCGATTAACGAACAACCTGCTGGAACGGATTGTGTTCGTTAACCGAGGGACCACTGTATATTTTTAGTTTCTAAAACATATTTATTTAACCCAACTTTTAGATAAACTATTCAGGATAATTATTTTTTTTACCTTAATTAGAACTGATTTTATATACCCCTGTATCCTTTTTTTTTTTACATCTTTCATAAAATAATTGAGTCCCCAGCTATATATCATGTCAAAATATTTTGTTTCAGTATCTTTTATTGAAACAGTCTTGTAGAGAATTTATTCAGGTTCATTATGGTATCAAATTCATCTCTCTAAACACAATTGGAGCGGATAAAACGTAATCAAGTATTAAAGAGAGACAGAGTATAGGATACTAGCTTACGGTTTTAAAATTATGCCAATTTCTTCCTAAACCAGTGATGTAATTGAGATTGAAGCCAAAGCAATTTTTCCGTTTTTTGGATAACCTAAAGATTCCCCCCCTCCCAAAGCATCAGAGTGGTTAAACTTCAGCTTGAAAATGCTGGGGGGGTCAATATTCTGGTGACTATTGAAGTTCACCAGCACCTGAAAAACTGTGGGCAACACTTCCAGGGAGTTACTGTACCGGTATAAAAAGACACCTGCATTCTTCTCATTCAAATCAGGCTGCAGTAAATCATGGCACAACACCTTCCAGACTGTTGTGTGAGGATTCCTTACCAGTAATTAATTGGTTTATGCGACATAGATGTGAAATGAACACTTCAAAGGTAAGGACAGCTCTAAATGGAAATACACTATATCTAAATTCATAGCTTCTATATTTCATTTATTTACTTTTTTCCCCTCAAGTACCATGTATTACTTCAGTTACGGGTCCATGCAATGTACAGTATCTGTGAAGCAAAAGCATCAGTGAAACAACTATACATGTTAACATTTCCGAGAAAAAGACGTTTTTTCTAAAAAAAAAAAAAAAATTGTGATATAGTCCAGAATGTGACGTCTAGCTTTATACAAAGGTATGTAAATGCCTAGTATTAACTCGCCAGGCCAACATACAGGCAATTAAAACATTAATTATTACTTAAATACGTAATATTAGAAGGACACATCGCTACCTGGCATTTAACATTTTCAAGCAAATCCAATTAAACTCAGCATGTCCTGGGATAAATGGCGAAATACACACACTCCAGTATGGGTCTTTGGTAGTATCAATACAAGCACCAAACTTACATCCAGGCAGACATTGCCATACTTCAGCCAAAATCCATTACTCAGTGAAGATGCACTCTTTTGGAACTATTCTTGCCTAAAGAGTTATCAGGCTGTTACAATGGTTGTGGGAATCATCCTGGCAGGCATAACATATCAGCTGTGGTAATCGCCCTTAAAGGGTTAAGTCTGTGTAAAGACTTTTAGCCTTTTCCTGAGTCAGACTAAGTGGCACGTGATGCTAAATGTGGACTTCAACCCACGTAATGAAGTTATTCTGTCACCCTTCACACCCCTTCCTTTCTTAATAATTATGTAGATTTCATCAGCACAGATCCCTTCACGTAATCGAGAATTCTTATCTTGTTCTAAACCCCTACATGGTTTCTATATAATAAACCTAAACACCTCTCTCTGGTTACCAAAAAGTTAATTTCTGGTTTTTTGCTGTTAAAGCTAGATAATTACCGGGTATGTCTAAAATCATGTGAAATGGTTAGAAAGTGGCAACTCAAGACTCATTTTGGCAATCGTGGTAATTGTTGTGTAGCGTCTCCGTTTTTATGGGAACCAGCCCCACCGTTTTAAATCCAATGCTGCCACGATCTCTGCCCGACCTAGGATACATATCAATCTGAATTTATTTAACTTTATTTTGTTATTTCCACCTCTTTTTTTATACTAGACTTGTGATTATATAATACTGGATAGGTAGGTGATTAGAAAAATTGATTTTTTTTTCATTTACTTTCAGGTGACAATTCTAAATGGAATGTGACAGAGAGAGAGAGGCCTCTGCTGCACAGCAAACATGCTACGGTGAGTTTCAGACAGCAATTACATAAAACAACTTACATTTACATAATTCTACACTAATTTTACTATTTATTGTACTCAATTATGTAGATATTATTCACTGAGGCAGTTTTTAAGAGTCGATACATGACATATGCTTTTGGATAAGGCACAAATTTATAAGGTACAGTTTTACCACCAATATGCTGTCACAAAGCCACCACCACATCATGTTGTGTTGGTACCCTAAAATGAGAAATTATATAGATTTACACTGTGCTTTAGTACTTCTGAAGGATGTAGTATTGTTAGAAGCATGGAATCAGGCACAGAGCAACATCACACTGAGTACACAGATAGCAAGTGTCTTTGCGTACATTGGCGCAGATTTCACTCATATAGTACACATGAAATTTTTTCTGGGAATACTGCTTTGCCCTAGTGGAAGAAATCACTGAAGGGAAGTATCAAGTAGTCAGTCGCAAAGGGAGTTCACTACCACCTCCAGGTCTCTGACGAGGTACTGCATTGGTCTCCAAAAGCTGCCATACCACATTTAATGAAAACTTGTGGAGTGTAGGTTTTTTATCCGTCTTCACTAGATAAAGAATGTGCATGTTCAGAAGGGACATGGAAGAATAGAGACTAGCGGGAATTTAAAAGTTTTCAAGGACGTTAATATATGCCCTATTCCTGGGTGTCTCTTACCTTAGCAGACGTTAATATATGCCCCAAACCACGTAGGGGTTAAGCAGACCTGTTAAGGTCAGGTGAATGCCCAATATGCAAATGAATTTTGTCTCATTCAGACAGCTTTATCATGTCTAATATACAGTCAACCCTCACTTTACGCGGTTAATACAACCCACAGGGTACCGCGTAAAGTGAACAACATAACATATGGGATTAATTGAAATAGAGACCGGGCCAACCCCCAAACACCACTTTTTGACGACACACAAATATGTTGTAGTAAAAATTTTATCTTAACTTTATGATGGTATGCACACACAATTAATATAGAAGTGGTTAGGTTAGGAAAAATAAAGGTTAAGTTAGGAAAAATAAAGGTTAGGTTAGGAAAACTAAAAGTTAGGTTTAACACTTACGTTAGTAGAAGAGATGGGTCGGCAGAGGGCAGGCTACTGGCCCTCAGGTGAGTCACCATCACTGTCATCCACACTTGTCAGGGCCTCCCTGACAAATCCCTCAAAGTCATCTTCACTGTCTCTACCTCTGTCACTATCATTGGCTTGGGCTGGCTGTGGTGGGTTGCGGGCGAAGAACTCTGTTATGCTTTGCTGACGGCTGGTGTTTATGTTGGCGTGATAAACCTTGAAGTAGGGCTCCATAGTCTGCAACAGCTGGGTAGTGAAGATTTCATACCTGTTTGCATCAGGGTCGTCGGAAAGGAGGAGCTTGACTTTCTCGATACACTCGATGGCACCCCTAACATTACTATGGGATAAGCGGTGTTCTTCTTGGGATGACGCACCACCTGCCTCTTCACTGACGTCATCATCATCTACCATCTCGTCGGTAGTCACATCAGGATCCCTTATCACCTCCAGGATGTCGTCGTTGGTGGTCTCGGAGAAGCCTGCAGCTGTAACACTCTGCGCAGCTTCTCTGGCAAGGTCCACTGCTACTGCAACAGTCTGAACCTCACCAGTCACAGATTGACTCTGCCTAACGGCCGGAATGCCTTGCAACACGTCTCCATGCGTGACGAACAGTTGCTACAGACAGCTGATCCCATGCCTCCACCAAGAAGTCCACAGCTTTCTTGATGTTGAATATTCTCCAGAATTGTTTGAAAAGTATTTTTTGCTCTGCCAACTGTTGATCCTCGTCTTCTTCGCTCTTGCTATCGGTGGTGGTGTCACTCAGGTTACGCAACTCTTCCCTGGTGTTGGTGTAGTCGTTCAGGAGCTTGAATTTTTTAGTTGAGAATGCAGCTTTTACATTACAGATTAACTCTTGGTCCATGGGCTGTAATATAGACGTAGTGTTGGGAGGAAGGAAGACCACTTTTACGTTGGGGTGACGATCTAACAGTAGGGGCGAGTGTCCTGGTGCGTTGTCCAGCAGCAACAAAATCTTGAATGGCACATTCTGTTGCTCACAGAATTTCTTTACATCGGGAACGAGACAGTCATCAAACCAGGAGAGGGACAGTGTAGAGAACATCCACGCCTTACGTGCGGTCAGCCAGTGGACATTTAGCTTGGTCATGTCCATGCTCTTGTAGGTGTGCGGCTTGCGGGCTGTGTGGATCACCGATAACCTGAGCTTACAGGTACCGGAGGCATTGGTGGTAAACAGGACGGTGATGCGCTCCTTCTGCAACTTCCGGCCCCGAATCTTGCTGGCATTCTTCACAACGAAGGTCTTGGAAGGTAGCTTTTTCCAAAAAAGACCAGATTCGTCCATGTTAAACACCTGGTCGTCGGTGTACTGTCCTTCCTCCATAATCTCACGTAAAAACGGAGGAAATTCCCTAGCTGCAACACGGTCAGCACTAGCTTCTTCACCACCAATGTTGATATCGGTGATCTTGTTCCTCATCTTAAACCTCTGTAACCACCCAGAGGAAGCATTAAAGGGTTTGGGCTCTGTAATTCCCATCTTTCGTGACACTGCAGCATACAGTTCACGTGCGTACTCCTTAACAGAGCGCGTGTCCACCGCTATGTTCCGTCGCGCCTGACGCACCAAGTAGCTCACAAGTAATTTTTCCATCTTGAGAAGCACCTGGTTGTGGAAATACTTGATCATAGAAGCACCTGTAGACTTTGTGATCTTCATGTGCTCCTTTATCTTGGCTGCATCCTTCTTTATCGTCCGGATCGTAGATTCGTTCACACCATGCTGGCGCGCCAAATCAACCTGTCTTGTTCCTTTCTCTAACTCTTGGATGATCTTGTACTTCACCTCGTAGCTTAAGGAATGTCGTGTCTTCTTGGGCTTAGGGCGGCTGGGTCCAGGCAAGGAAAGGTTTCTCTCTGGGGGCGGTGGTCCGGCGGAAGCCATTTTACAGAACAATGGATGCACGATTACACGGTGTGGCCTGGAGGGATGAAACTGCCGCGGCTAGGTCAAGCGTCATCTTTCCTCCCTCACTCCCCCGGGTGGACACGTCATATTACTTTAAACCAATAACAGCTAGCAGCGGAGGGAGGTAGGGATGCATGGCCAATCACAGTCCGATACGTCATATGACATCACTGATAACGCAACAGAGACATGCACTGCGCAACCTTACCGCGCGGCTTGCCCAGGCGGAGGCGGGAGCAGGCAGGAGGGGCGAATCTAAAAATAGCGTCGAGCCGGACACACTCCGCGTAAAGGGGTACACGCACCGCGGAATGTGAGCATCCCGGGTTCCGGCAGGGTACCGCATAAACGTGGAATGTGGGACCGCGTAAAGTGAGGGTTGACTGTAATTTCCAAAATAAGAATGCTACATTTCTCTGATGCATGAGCATAACATGTACAGTATCACCCTTTCACTTCTCTTACATTCCTTTACTCACTAAAAAAAGTCAAAATAAGAAAGTGAAGCTCACACTGCAATAGAGGCAAATGGTTCACTGCTGTTCACAAGTGGCATGGACTCAGAACTTGCCCCGGAGGCATTCTGTTGAACTACATAGTTTATGGTTAATAACTACGACTGAATGTTTGCATGTCAGGTGAGAAAACTAATGTAGAGAAAACTAATGTCATCTTATGTTAGTTAATTTGTTAATGTGGATGTCTTTAAATCAGAAGTCTGTAACTGGAACTCCCTGTAGAGGTTAATCAAAATCAATAGAAATTATAAAGAAAATTAACTTACAGTATTCTCAATTTCAATGATGCGTTCCGCGTGTTCATTTGAAGCATAATAAAACTCTATTAGCAAGAAATAAAATCTTCTTGTCCTATTTGGTTCTGAAAAAACAAAACAAAAAACAATCAGAATGCAGTACAGTTTAGCAAGGAAAGTAAAGCCCCGTCTACACTATGAGTTCCCACCTGTGGTATTCAAGCATGGTAACGGTGAGTACCAGGAAAATGAACGTGTAGACGCGAGCAACCGAAGGGCCATCCCTGAACGAGGTAGTTCATAAGCGAACGATATATTCATGCATGGGCACCTAACACCTACAACTGTGTTGCCAGACGGCCAGAAAAGTCTGGGTTTCACCAGACATTTTAGCTCTATGCTAGATGTTTCAAGTTATGGGTAATATAGTGGGATACCACCAGAATGTCCAAACTTATCGAGAAAATGGCATGAAAATCTCCCGAATTTACCCCGTTATACCTATATTACCAAGTCGTCTGTCATGTCACAAGATTCATATAGTCTATATTTTCCAGCAACACTGCGTGCCAGTACGTTACCATTCAGAGCAAAGAATGGATGTTGTCGCCGACCCTCCTACCCATACTCTTGCGCCACAGGAATCAGTTAATGAGGTTCCATTTGAATGAACAAAAAACCTCACATTACATTTAATCGAAAAGTATAGGGATCATCCCTGTTTGTGGCAGGTAAAATGCGAATCCAAAAAGAAGAGAAATAAGAAAACCTTAGCATGTAATGACCTATACTCATCTGTTAAAGCACTGAATCCTAAATGCACGCTTGACATGGTTAATAAAAAATAAACACCCTACGTAGCCAGTACAGTTCAATGAATATTTTATTATAGCTTCCTCTATCTTTGTCAAAGAGCCACTGTTTCACTCATGTTTTGTGTTGTCTACACTTCTTGCAATTTATCACAAGGGAAGCGGTCAGAACACACAACAGCGCTACTTTGTGGCAGAGATTGGATCTAGGAGCCATTGCCCTACCTACACGGGTAGCAGCCACCCACACACTGGATAGGGGTCACTATACGTGTGAATGGCCAAATTGCTGGTCAGCGGTCTATACTGTGCTTTGTCACCATGCTTCGAAATGTATGAGAAGTGTGCTAGGACACCACAGGTGGAAACTGATAGTGTAGACGGAGCTTAAGGGTGCATCAAGATTGGAAGAACTCATAGACACAATCTAGGGATATATCTTCAGCCATGCACATACACAACATTTAAAGTCAGCAACATCCTGCAGTCTGCCATTTACACCACTACATCTATTTTGTACTCGCTTTCCATACTCACTGCACACAATTGAATTACTGCCAAGACCCTTTTTACAAACAACACATGGCAATTTTCCCCTTCAGGTCCTTCATCCATGCCACTCACCAATACTTTTGATTTTTGCCACATTCACTCTAATACCCTTTGACTCCATTCCATCTTTCCCTATCTTAAAATTCTCCATTATCTTTTCAATGCTATCTGTTATTATCACTACATTAATAGCATAAATCAACTCCCAGGGCAGGTTAATCCTATCAGTTTGTGATAGTTCCTCTAGCACCATCCTACACAGAAAGGGGATCAAGACAGACCCTTGATGAAACAGTTTTGCTCAACACTTACTGGGGTCAAAAAGGTCAGAAGGTAAGAAGGTGTCGTCATTATAAATGATCTCAAAGAACAATTTGATGACCTTGGCCAGGACCATTGTTCTCACTGCATTGTGGTACATCTCCTGGTGCTGATGCACAGACTCACACAAATCAAACGGAAGCTGTAGGTAAGACAGTTAGATTATCGAGTTTTGTGTTAAACAATTTACCATAAACCACCATTGATCTTATAAACTATATAAATATTTTTTAATATATTTTAGATTACCTCAAACCTTACAATGCAATTTGTCTAACCAAATCTTCATATCAAAAGTTCTTAATATTTTCAAAGAGCTTCACTTGCCTATATGTACCAGCTATTTCGTTATCTTAATTAAAATAGTACCTGTATAAAATACTTCAGATGACTAACCTGGTGAATCTGTTCCAGACATGCTCCAAAGTCTCGGATGAAGCAAGTGTATATCTTCTGCACAAAGTCAGGTTTGAACTGTCTGATATCATTGATAGTTACATGAAAGTCAAACATGGAACTAAATGCTTTGACACACATTTCATCATTTACACACTGGTCACCCATCTTGTAGTAATGGCTTTATGAATTGTTCTGAAAATATTCGGACAATAATCATCAATGGCAGCTAAGAAGGTCCTTGAAAGTCTTACTTATAATACCCATTTCCTACTCTGTAAAAGTGGTTCATGATAGGAAGGTCATTCAGCCATAAAATTTGCTTCAAATGTTCCTCTTGGTAACCAGATCACTATACTACTGGACTGTATTAGGTAATCACAGGGAAAATCACTTCAATCACAAAAAATATACCTATAAAAAATAATGGTTGATGCAGCCAAAAGTTCAGAAAAATTTCAAGGCAAACTTTTTTGGAGTGAGGGTTGTGAACTGTTGGAACAATGTGCCAGGGAGAGTTGTAACATCCCGTCACAATACACACTGGTATCAACACTGGTACAGGTACAGATACATTCCGGAGCCAGTAAATGCCCAATACTTGCCAACAGTGACAGTGTGTAATAGGGCCACTACTTGCCAACAATGTGTAACAGAGAGCCAGTAGTAATACCTACGTTAGCCGGAATCCTTCAAACCCGAACTCTCCAATAGCTGGAATTGAAATTTTCTTGGAAAATCGTTCCCGAAGCTGGAATTTTTTCCCCGCTTTGCGAACGATTTTCCAAGGGGCACATTTTCCGGAAAATTCTGAGAAAATTTTCCCAACACCCAGAAAATTCTGGGGATGGAGTTTTTTTTCCAGGTTTGAGAGATGAAAATCAGCACATTTTCTTGAAATTCCGAGAAAAAATTTCCGTTACCCGGAAAATTCTGGGGATGAGGGACATTTTTCCGGGTTCAAGAGATGATGTAATGGCAATTTCTGGAACTTCCGAGAACATTTTTCCATTACCCGTAAAATTCCGGGGATGAGGGATATTTTTCCAGGTTCGAGAGAGATGATGTAATGGCAATTTCTGGAACTTCCGAGAACATTATTCCGTTACCTGGAAAATTCCAGGATGAGGGATTTTTTCCGGCTTTGAGTCGTCTCGTTATCAAGAAAACTCTCATCCCCAGAAGTGCTCTGCACCAATTGTTCCGAATAACGGGGATATCAGTGTACTTGCCAACAATGTGTAACAGAGAGTCAGTATTTGTCAACAATGTGTACCAGAGCCAGTACTTGTCAATGTTATCCGGTGATTTCGTCCCTCGGTGAGTTCGGCCCACGATAGTCTGGGCAGAATTAACTAATTACTGTTTTAAAGGGTTACAGTCCAATTCAGCCCATCAAATACTAAAACGTATGAGTTTACCCATTTTTTTTGCATGAATGATTAAATCACAAAATATAACGGTTGAGGATAACCTGATCACGAGAACTGAGGTTGACGAGTTCCACAACAATTTAAATACAGTAATGAGTTTCTTGATGTACATAGGCAGAACATACCATACAGAGGGTTAGGGTCATCTTGTACTCAACTCACGAGATAAGTCGTACCCTAGATTACTTGCACCCAATTCAAGAGATAATCCATGCCTAGTATATTAAAAGTACCATGCATTTTAGCTTTATCTATGATTACAAAAAAAGATTATGTAAATCTTGTACTGTAGGAAAGTGCAGTGAAATAGTGAAATGTAATGCAGCGCTTTAAAATGGTTGCATCTCATTACATAAGTATGATATTCAGTCACACAAACATTGCACTACAAGTACTGAACGAAGTCCGAGCTTATATTCAAAACTGAACTCACTACCATAGGATTAGTGGACCTCCAAAAACGAGAGATTAGCTCGGTCAGTGACCCCGGCGGCATCCATTTGATCATCCGACGTAACGTCCTTTGATGGTCATGTATCACAAAATCGCCGAATAACCTGACTGTGATACATGACTATCGAAAGATGTGACGTTGGATGATCAAAGGGATGCTGCTTTGTAGCTTGGAAGAGCTGCAGTCGACTTATAGGCCAAGATTAGGCCTAATTCAAACTTTTAACCTGAAAATAATAGGATCGACTTATACGCTGCAATATATATATGGGTACGAACTGCCTCGTAAATTGGGTACGAGTTATCTTGTAATGGGGTACTTAAACTAACCTAAACTAAATGTTTCAGTAGTTTAAAACTTTGGTGAGCGCCATGTCCGAAAGTACAATACCTTAGTTAAAAGTAGACAGAATGATCATCTTTCTCTTAAAACCCATGACCATTGTCAGACTGGTCAATGAAATTCAAATCCGTACCCAGGCTGCTTCCTTTGAAAAAATTAAAATGTGATTGGTCGAAAAAAAATTCACGTGATATCGATACATCATTGGTCACGACTGGATGACGTCAGTCAACATTGTCGCTCTCCGCCTGGTATACAGTATATGGGACACAAGATGCTAAGAATAGGGCGGTCTAAATGATTCAGTGGTTTATAATTTTCGGGCGCTCTTGTCCGAAAGTAAAATAATACCCAGCCAGTACTTACCAACCATGTGTAACAGAGTCAGTACTTGCCAACAGTGTATAGGAGTCAGTACTTGCCAACAGTGTATAGGAGTCAGTACTTGCCAACAGAGCCAGTACTTGCCAACAGTGTATAGGAGTCAGTACTTGCCAACAGAGCCAGTACTTGTTAACAGAGCGTAAGAGACGTGACTGATCGCCCAAATGGCTAACAAGCCGATCAGTGATGAGGATAAAAGTAAAAGTATAATGAACTGTTATCACAAAAAAATAAGTCTGCTCGCTGGCTGGAAGTAAAGGCGTTTCCCTACAAACCAGACATAATTACTCCTCACTAATTAACATACAATCACCCATAATAACAGATAATGCCTTACAGTCAGTGGAGACAGGGATCACTCCTCTGTTGTTTGAACACCGAGGGCTGCTACTGGTTAGAGGTACGATAACTATCACATACGTTTGGTGGGTAATTTATGATTTACATATAGTATCACAAAAGTAGATTTTATTATATGTAAATTACAGAAAATTTATTATTATAACGCTAAAAAAACGTTAAACTTGAAGCCTATACACAGTTAAATGACATAATAGTGTATAGTATTAAATTGTCCGCTAATTATGATAAATTGTTGTACACCTTATATGATTATCATCAATATTTAAAATAATGAGGTAAGGTTGCGTCTAGTTAAATTTATATTAATACAAAATGTTTTCTATTTATAAATCACTATAATATTTATCCAACAATCCATTCAATCCGGGATTTTTCCGTGAGTTATATTTATCTAACTGAAGCTCTTGTGTATCTCAACTATTTCTCCTGATTTTTAATATTTCTTTTTAGTGGACATTTGAAACGGACTTTTAATTTTGTTTTCCGTTTTTCAAAGACCCAAGTTTTTTAAATACGTTAATATATGTTTAATATTTGTGCCTAGTGTTTATATGTCCATTTTACACTGTCTATAGTTCATGACGAATCATGATATACTTACATGACAATCTTACGAAATGAGCATCTAAAATATCTGTCAATATATTTAGAAATAATGATCTACTGTATTTTAAATTAAAAATTCAGTGTCGTCATATTAGAGCCGCCAAACCACCGTGAGATCAGCTGATGGTGTGTGTTGACAGATCACAACATGTCCACCTCCTACACCCAGTAATCAAAGTACGTACAGTATTTCATTTATGATAAGTTGGGCGCACAGACATACAAGGGAGACTCCAGGGGACGTTAACATAATATTATCTACCAAATAGTAACAAGAGAACTTGACAGAAGAGATAAAATATTCAGAAACTCGGGACATGAATGGGGGAGACTAGATGGGGTTAGGGTCATCTCGTACCCAATATAAATGGCACCCACAAGTCAACTCGTACCCAAGACAACTCGTTCCCAAGATAACTCGTTCCCAAGATAACTCGTTCCCAACTCACGAGATAAGTCGTACCCAAGATTACTTACACCCAATTCAAGAGATAATCCATACCTATTAGTATACTGTATATACCATGTATTTTAGCATTATGATTAAAAATAATAATAAATCTTGAAGGAAAGTGCAGCGAAATAGTTAAATGTAATGCAGGCTTTAAACTGGTTGCATCTCATTACTTAAGTATGCTATTCCGTCACAAACATTTGCACTACAAGTAATTTCACACTGTGGTTTAGAATAACTTTATTACAATTTACAGATTTCAGGCTAATAGATTTGGCAGTTTCAATTTACAGTATAAACAAACTGGACGATGTAGACATTTAAAATGGTCATAAGTCAACAAAATAAAGACATGCATGAAAACAGATTGATTTTCCAGCTCCAGCTATTTGTAAACAAATCAGTTAGTGTACAGTGTATAATTCGGGGCTCCTCGGTACTTCTTCCGGTATAACGAACTTTTTCTACGGAGTGGCTGACATCGTCAGGAATGTCTTCTTCTGACATGTCAACGTCAAGAATGAAATACAGTATTAGTAAGGATATAAAAGAACGAAGAGTGAGAATATTGGCTAACGCATATACAATTAGTTATGCTATTATACATTAATGATACTCTGGATAGATTTGTTTAAAAAGTCACGACCACACGGAAACAAGACTAGTATGAGTAACGTAATGACTTGATTATGTGTCACCCTATATTTATGCTATTCTAATATTAAAATCAACCTTGTCCATGTTTCCATTGTGGATCTACATGATTTACACGATATATATTTATATATATATATATATATATATATATATATATATATATATATATATATATATATATATATATATATATATATATATATATATATATATATATATATATATATATATATATATATATATATATATATATATATATATATATATATATATATATATATTTCATGTAAATCCACAATGAAAACATGGATAGATAAATGATAAATCTTGATAAAATTACAACCCGTTGTTTCCATTTCCGGTGATTTTATCAATATATATATATATATATATATATATATATATATATATATATATATATATACTGTATACAGTATTACCCCGCCTAACACGGTTTCACTTAACGCGTTTTATCATATACGCGGTGCCTCGCCAGAGCTGAACTTTCACTTAACACGGATTTTTTCCACATATACGCGGTGAGTGTCCGGCTCGAGACGCTATTTTTAGATTTGCCCCACCCTGCCTGTTTTAGCTCATAAAATTCATACAAATTGCCTGGTCAGAATATAATTTACATTGCTGGAATTCTTATAATTTGGTGATCATTTTGAATATGAACATCATATATTTTGCATTAGACATACAAATTTTAGATAAAAAATTTTCTCAGAGTAACTATGTTATCTTTTGTGCAAAATATATGACATTTATATTCAAAATATTCCTGGTCTTACAAGGAATCCAGCAATGTCAATTATATTATCCTAACTTTAGTTTGAGGTATTATTTATTACAAAAAAGTTAGGTATATTCTGGTTTTCCCACACATCTCCTTGGGACGGTTGGTGGGGGGTGGGGGGGAGGGAGGGACCGACCGACCATCTGTTACCCCGTGAAGAATATTTTTTTTTTTTATTAACTGAAGATATTTGTTTTAGCTCATAAAATTCATACAAATTACTCGGTCTGAATATAATTTACATTGCTGGAATTCTTATAATTTGATGATCATTTTGAATATAAACATCATATATTTTGCATTAGACATACAAATTTTAGATAAAAATTTTTCTCAGAGTAACTATGTTATCTTTTGTGCAAAATATATGACATTTATATTCAAAATATTCATGGTCTTACAAGGAATCCAGCAATGTCAATTATATTATCCTAACTTTAATCTGAGGTATTATTTAATACTAAATGTTAAAAACCCTGGAAGGGAGGATTGGTGGGGGGTGGGGGGGAGGGTTGGGACTGACCGCGCGGTTGGAAGAGGGGGGGAGGCAAGGTGGGGTACTTTGATTGACAGATAGTGTCCTGAAGATTATTTTTTTTTTTATTAACTGAAGATGTTTGTTTTAGCTCATAAAATTCATACAAATTACCCGGTCAGAATATAATTTACATTGCTGGAATTCTTATAATTTGGTGATCATTTTGAATATAAACATCATATATTTTTCATTAAACATACAAATTTTAGATAAAAATTTTTCTCTAGGTAACTATGTTATCTTTTGTGCAAAATATATGACATTTATATTCAAAATATTCCTGGTCTTACAAGGAATCCAGCAATGTCAATTGTATTATCCTGACTTTAGTTTGAGGTATTATTTATTAAAATTTAGTGGTTTTCCCCCAAAAATTTCTCAGAGAGGGAAGAGCCGGCAGTGTAGTGTGAGAGGGGGAGGGAGTTAAGTCCATTATTTGAATGGACATTAAATTGGCGACTGTATTTCTCTATTTCTCTTAAGTATTAATTGTGTGCATGTACCATCATAAAATTAAGATGTTATTTTTACTACAACATAGTTATGTGTCTTCAAAAAGTGGAGTTTGGGGGTCGGGCTGGTTTCTATTGGAATTAATCCCATATGTTCTGTTGTTCACTTAACGCGGATTTCACTTAACGCGGGACCCTCTGGGTTTTATTGACCGCGTTAAGTGGGGTACAACTATATATATATACAGTGGGGTATGCTATAACGAACGGATCCTACTACGAATATTCCTATAACGAACGGTTTTACCTATAAAATTGAGAATACTATAACGAACGAAACTCCTACAGAACATTATTTATTTATTTATTTTATTTATTTTTTTTTTTACGAATTTATTGTTTTTTATTACAAGTATTAATGATATTCTTTATTTCAGGGGTTTAGATGCATATGTATGCACTTTTTTACAATTTTTACAATTTTATATTATATTTTTCAGTGTTAAGTGGTTGTATTTGGGGGCCTGGAATGGATTAATCCTATAACGAACGAATGCTATAACGAACAAGGTTCTAGAACCAATTAGATTAGATTAACATCCCCACTGTATATATATATATATATATATATATATATATATATATATATATATATATATATATATATATATATATATATATATATATATATATATATATATATATATATATATATATATATATATATATATATATATATATATATATATATATATATATATATATATATATATATATATATATATATACAATGTTTGCAAATCAGTCCAAAAGTGAATTCAGATATATTGAAGTTAGATTTATTGAGGTTTTACTGGACTTCATTTTCACATGGATCTTTTCATTTTTAAGAATTTCATATACTAAAGGATCCTCGACCTATAGAATACACACCATATCAAGATTAAGTTAGGATTGCTTACTTTGTGTGTCAGGTCACAAGTGGTTACAGTATTTTGTACACTTCTGAGTTTTGCAAATTTGAATTGAAAGCCAGATGTTGGTCTGTAATCACAACTATTACAGACTTTGATCTGATTTAAAAATATAAATCTGTAGAATTCTGAAATTAGTTTTGCATCTTAAATTTATCCAATTTATTTCAGATATAAAATGTGTGACTGGATGTAAGAGCGAAGCATGTTATCCAAGCACCATCACCCACCACAACCCAACTGCAGTATAAAGCTGTACGAGCAGGAAGTTGAACCACTTAAAAACAGTTTTGTACAAGTGTATAACAAACCAGTATGAGAATAATTATACATCTTTATGGGAATATATTATAGTATGTATTGTGAACATGATTTAAGTAAATTGACAGATATCCTAGACTTAAGTTAGAAAAATGAAATTCAAGTTGATTCATTATAAAACATATAGTTTGTATAAATGAAGTGCTGCACTGTGTATAATATTGTTTAAACATGATGATTTTACTTAATAATTATCCTCTGATCCTTGCACTAGGGAGGAAAGTTCTGATATAATTTGTGGAAAGTGTTTGTCTTCCAGACCTGTGCTCTCTGTCAAGACAAAATTTTAGTTCTGGTAAATGTTTTTTGACCAAAAGTAGCCTCAAGAACCACTTACATGTACAGAATTATGTAGGAAAATATTTGCCCTTGAAGCCTGGAGAATTTTTGTTCCAGAAAGGATGACTCACATATTTTAATATTGATTGGCAAGACTTACTTGTACTCAGTTGGGTAAAGTGAGTAAAAATGGCCCATTTTTTGGATCCAACAGCTGGGCATAGTGGTGAGAAAACTTGTGTCTGTGTAGAATGCGGTAAATTTTTTTGCAGCTACGAGGCCATGCAAATGCATATTTGTATGACTGAACAGATTGATGTGAAAGATATAAAGTGTGAAAAGTTTGATGACAGCTTATACAGTAACTATGATATGAAGCATCATGTGGCTATCCATGCAAAGAGGGAATTTGAGTATTTAGAAAATGGTCAATCTTATTGCAGAGAGAATCAGTTGGATTATCCTATGGTTATGCACACGAGTGAGAATAAGTTTGAGTGTAAAGAGTGTGGTAAAGGATGTGACACAGAGGGTGACCTGAAGCAGCATATGGTTGTGCATTCTGGGGAAACTAATTTTAGGTGTGAAGAGTGTGGTAAATGTTACTCAACAAAGTATAACCTGAAGCAACATAAAGTTGTGCATTCAGAGGAGAAAAACTTCAAATGTCAAGTGTGTGGTAAAAGTTATTACAGGAAGGGTGAACTGAAGCAGCATATGGCTGTACACACGGGTGAGACAAATTACAAGTGTGAAGAGTGTGGTAAAAGGTTTTACAAAGAGAATGAACTGAAAAAGCATTTGGTTGTGCATACTGGTGAGAAAAATTTTAAGTGCATTGAATGTGATAAAAGTTATTATAGAAAAGGTGAATTAAAGCAGCATTCATTTGTGCACACGGGGGAGAAAAATTTTAAGTGTACAGAGTGTGGTAAAAGTTTTTATACCAAGAAGGATCTCAAAGTTCACATGGTTGTGCACACAGATGGAAAAAATTTCAAGTGTGAAGAGTGTGGCAAAAGCTATTACAAAAAGAATAAACTGAAGGAGCACATGGTTGTGCACACTGATGAGAGGAATTTTAAGTGTGAAGTGTGCGGTAAATGTTATTACACAAGGAATCATCTGAATCAGCATGTGGTGGTGCATACTGGTGAAAAAAAATTTAAGTGTGAAGACTGTGGTAAAAGCTACTACACAAAGACACACCTCAAGAGGCATTTGGTTGTACATACTGGCGAGAAAAATTTCAAGTGTGAGGTGTGTGGTAAAAGCTACTACAGAAAGAGTAAACTCAATCAGCATATGGCTGTACATACAGGTGAGAAAAAATTAAGGTGTGAAGACTGTGGCAGAAGCTTTCAAAAAATGACATATCTGTTGAGGCATATGAGTGAGCATACCAGCTAGATGTACTGTACATACTACTGTATTTTACAGTGTAATGTGGAGTAGCTAAAAAAATTTTTTTATTCAGTAGGGGGTAGTCACCTGAATCATAGACTTGTATACTTTACCTCTTTCAAGAATGTCAGATTATTCCTAAACAGAATCTCTGAGAAAAAAAGCAAGATTTAGACAGCTAGAGTTACACAGTTAATCGGCCTGACTTACCAAATGAGACAAATGTACATGTAAGTTATTTACTCAGAAGATTAATTGACTCATATAATTTGAACGGGTTATATTGTCCCTGGCCACACCATAGTAACTACCAGACCCTGAAATGCCATAGCAAACAACCACTACAGTACAACTACTGTACTGTGGTGTCAACAAACCATCCATCACAAGGTGCTTTAAACCAAGTGACTTTTTTCACCACAATTACAATTTCTTCTCACATTGGTCAATTGGTGGGACAGGTTTGTATGTTATGAACACATTTGTATGTACACATATGCTACACCGTTATACATACACTCAAACATGTGTGTTTCATGCTTTCACTCATGCATACATACTCTTACATATACTATGCTGTACAGTTGGCTCCACCCCTGACTTTACCACTTAGCATTGCCAATCCTCTCACTTCCTCAGGTGTGAATCCCCGAATCGTGAAGTGTGAAACCGTTTCATTCACTAGTGAGTGAGGGGGTGTGTCAGGGTTGGTGTCTTTTTGTGAGGTGAGATGGAGTACTAGGTAGTGAGGAGGGAAAGTGTATATCAGTTGGGAGAGTTGCAGTGCAGAATAATGCTTTGATAATAGGGGTTTTGACAGCTGAGTGTAATTGTCTAGCGCTAGCCAAATGAAAATAATATACAGGGTGGTCCCCGGGTTACGAACAGGTTCCTTTCCTGAGGACGTTCTTAAGTCGAAAATGTAGGTGAGTAACATATGCAAAATATAAAAATATTCATTAATTTTTAGTCATTTATTATGATTTATATTATATCATTTTAATTATTCATTTGTTCCCCCGCAAGAATACTAGCATCTCAAAATGCTTGTCACTCATTCTGCTACTCTTGTGCCTCAAGACGTCCTTGCACATGGAGAACATGCGCTCCACTGCAGCACTAGAGGGGATGGGGGTGTTGTATTTGATGAACAACTCCCTCATGGCCTTGTTGGGGAAGGTGTCCTTGTCAACAAAATTTTTCGTAGGTTTCTCCACCAGGAAACGCTTGAAAGGGTCAGTCTTTTTCATTCCAGGGAGGGGGGTCTCGTACAGGGCCTGGAACAATTCGTCCTCCACGTCATGGTCTTTGTCGTCTCCCTCACTGCTGCTGCTCTCAGTCTCGTGCACGGACTTCTCCACCAACCTAGACAGCTGGTTGGTGGCCTTTTTCCTGACTTGAAAATTAAAATCTGTAGAAAGCTGCGTGGGCGCGGCAAAATTTTTCCCGGTCATCTTTATAACAAGATAAATGAAAATCGAACTTGGAAAAATAAAAAAAAAATAAAAATTGAAGAACAAATTGACGCTTAACGCTCTGCTCGGGTGAAAAGTTGACTGCGTCACTTGTAGCGTCATCTGCCCAAAAAATTTATGGCGTCAGCTTTAACAAAAAGTTGACGGCGTTAAATTAACAGCGTCAACGTACAACACTGGGTAGTCGAAGGTTCTTCCTGCACCTTTGTCAAGGGTTGCCTTAGAGTCCAGTGCATAATGTATAACTTTATTAATTAACTTCTTTAAACAACAGCTTTGCATCAAAAATTTTACACTTAATAATAATAATATATTTTTTTTTATCCATTTAACCTAACTGTTTGGCACAATTAAACTGTGTGGTTTGCTGAGTCTATACCAGACCTCTGCCAACTGAACTGTTTTATTCAGCTAGGGAAGTTCCATCTCAGTCAAGGGGTTAAACAAAACACCGCTGCTTCGACGAGATATAGATTCAAACATATCCATAATCCATTTGCTCATAAATGCCCGCTTTTGCATGAATTCATCCTACTTTCATCCTATTGTAAAAGTACAGTGCATTTTCATCTGGATAGTGTTACATGATTTCACTGAGTTGAGGAAACCCTATCGTTATTGTCAAAGCGTTATTCTGCAATGTAATCTCTCTCAACTGATATACTGTGCACTTTCTCTCCTCACCCCCAGTAACCCCACAGAAAGACACCTACCCCGACACATCCCACCATTCTCCTTCCCGCTAACTGGCGAATGCTTCGAATTCACACTTCAGAGTTTGGGGTTTGTTATCTCAGGGAGAGAGGATTGGCAATGATAATTGGCACAGTCAGGAGTGGACCCAACTGTACACAAATATTCTCTCATAATGATTATGTGACTGTTACAGTATACCAAATTGTCTTATTGCTGCTAAAAATAAAACCTTATGAAATATTTTATTTACCCATGTTTTCTATAAAGAATTGTCAATTTTTATTTACTGAGTTGTTAAGGTTCACAGGTGACACAAGACTAGTGATCATTGCTCACATAGATACACTGTCAACATTTTTTGCACACACACACACAGGTTGAGAAAATTATTGTTGTGCCAGCCTTAATTAAAACCCTGTCGAGAAATGTTTGGATAGAAAGATGTACAGTATTAGGGTCGATGACCATTACAGAATACAATACACCCCCTGTATAAGGTTACAGTACTAAAGTATTTCCATACTAACCTGGCCGGTAAGCCACACCCCTCTTGCTTATATAAAAATAGCTGATTGGTTCATAAGAAGTGTTTGTGTAGCTGTCCATTTATTCAAACTAATATAATGTTAAATACGTACCTGTATATGGAATATCAAAATGCAAATGATTTCAAGGCATTAGCACTTAAGAGAGGATGATAGAAAAATTTAAATGTTTATTATAAAAGGTTGAAGTCCAAGATGAAATTTGCTTTTGAATGAAGTCTTCATTATTTTTTTGTTTTATACCAAGCATAAAGCAAACAAGCAAATGACCCCACACATATAGCACAATAGGTAATGATTTACAGTTTGTATTGCTGGATATATCCCGAATCATTTATATAACTGATAAAACTTGATATAAATACGCTCAGTTAAGCTTAGTGAGATAAAATGCTCAGTGGAACAGCCGCATCGATGGGGTGATCAGCCGACAGTGATATTGATGCATGTGTTTTTAAGAGCCATATAAATTATGGCAATTACATCTCAATGGGGTTGGAATATACAGTCAACCCTCGCTTTACGCGGTCCCACATTCCGCGTTTCCACGTTTACGTGGTACCCTGCCGAAACAGGAATGCTCACATTCCGCGGTGCGTGTACCCCTTTACGCGGAGAGCGGCTGGCGAGCCGCACCATTTTTGGATCCAAACCTCCCGCCATCCGCCATGTTGTGTAAGCGGCGCGAGCATGGTGCGCACAAGGTCGCCCAGTCATCAAAACATTACCGAGTTCTTCACCCGCCACCCACCACAGCTGGCCCAAGTCAGTGATAGTGATAATTATAGTGAGGATATGGACTTATATGGACTTTGAGGGCTTTGACAAAGAGGCCCTGCAAGCCTCTGTGGTGGATAGTGATACAATTGATACAGGTGAGGGCCAATAATCTGCCCTCTGCCTCCGAACCTACCGCCCATCCCCGTGTGCCCAGCCATCTTTTCTACTAATGTAAGTGTTAAAAAACCTAATATTTTTTATATTTCTCTTACTTATTAATTGTGTGTGCATACCATCATAAAGTTAAGATAATATTTTTACTACAACATAGTTGTGTGTCATCAAAAAGTGGAGTTTGGGGGTCGGCCCAGTTTCTATTTCAATTAATCCCATATGTTATGTTGTTCACTTTACGCGTTTCTCACTTTCCACGGTACCCTGTGGGTTGAATTAACCGCGTAAAGTGAGGGTTGACTGTAGTACAAATACAGTACAGGACTTATTGACACATTTTTCATAGCTTGTGTCTACACCTTTTTATTGCCTGGGGTTTTGCTCCCTCCATATGTTAAAACAATAATGCCATGGTTATAATAAATCCTTGCAATGCAGGTACCTGTTGAATATTTTTCCTTTGATTCATATGTTCATTTTGGGGTTGGTGGACCCCCCCACTGGGGGCCAAAGGGTTTTACCAGTCATGGAGTACTGTAAAAGGTTGGCCACCAGAAACTGTATCTATAAGCATCTAAGATCACAACCCAGGTGGACAACTTTGCTACTGGTAAGCTACTGGATGTCCGTGAAGAGTCCTCAAATGATACACGACCCTCCGTGCGGTAAAGCGCCGCTGAGCAATGCACCTGATGTCAGTACAGTACTATGCTTGCAATGCAATGATGGCTAACACTGCTCATGTGGCTTGTAAGTTGATAAATGATAGATTAATATATCTCAAATAACAATTGTATAGTTTGATAGAAAGATATACTGTACAGATACTGTACTAAATTTAAATATACCTGTTAAGTAGGTAAAATATTGTTGAGAGTTGTTTGACATTGTTTACACTACCAGAGTAGAGCTACATACTTGAGTTAGGTAGTACTGTATTATATAGGAGAATTACCAGAATGTTGAAAACTATTACCTTTATTTTTATCCTCTTTGCCACTGATTGACTCATTAACTGCCTGGGCGGTCACTGGTCAGTCACATCTCTGTTACTTACTGTTGATATGTACTGTACTGGGTATGCACTGGCTCCTGAATGTATCTGTACATGCTCCAGTGTTGGTCAAGTCTGGTCTTGAAAGAACTCACATTCGGTGCCGTCACAAAACTCTTTGGCAGATTCTTCCAAGAGCTTACAATTCTCACTCCAAAAACGTTTGCCCTCACAGTTTTTTTTTTACTTGTGACTCCTCCAACCTTGAGCTGTGACCAGTGCTGCCGTTTGACGGTAATTTGTCTGCTAAACGGTAAAAAAATGAGTTAACGTAATTGGTAGACCGTGATGTCACTGTACCGGCCCGTCAGTAAAACACTGAAATTGTTAATTAGGCCTTTTTTGGGGTCAAATGCAAAATTTAACTGAGATAAAATAATTATGAGGGTATTTTGTTTAATTTCCTTCATTTTAAAGTTGTTAGTTTAGCAATACTGCTTTATGATGAGATGGCATGAGAGTATGATGTGTACTAATGGTTACTCCTCGTGTAACGAGGATGGTCGGCCCAAGGGACACCTAGACGTGAATCTATTTAAGGTGTAGAAGCTGTCGCCAACACGACAACCACACACCACGTTAACGAGTTGCATGACCCAGTGTCAAGTAATAGTCCAAGAAAACCGGACAACTTGCCAACTGCACTGGCTAACCAGTACCCTGGAGTACGATCCGCAAATCGATTAACATCCAGGTTCCCAGTTACTGCTGGGTAGACAGAGGCAAATGGCGTAAAGAAACTTGTCCAAAGTTTCACCCTGCCCGAGGATCGAGCTCGGCTCTGTTCACTTGCGAGGCGAGCATGCTGACCATTACGCCACAGGTCGCCATGGAACACAAAGACAGTCATTTTGTCCTGTTCCATGTTTGAGTTCCAGGAGCAGATTCAGGAATATAAAGAGGGGGGGGGGGGGCCAAGAAGTTTTGGGTGGGGGAGCCTGGCGAGCAAAGTGAGCTCACCCAGCTGGATGGTTTTGGGGAGCTAGTAAGTCTTCCCCACCCCCCCCCACCCGAATTTTTTTTTAAATTGACCAATATTATGGGCATTTTGAGGCCATTTGGAAGCCATATGCACTAGGTATCAGGGGATATTCAGTAGTCCATAGTAATTCATTCTTACTATACAAAAATGCCCGAGTACAATACTACATTAACCTTAAAACAAACCAAAAAAACAAACCAACAAAAACCCAAAAAAACACAAAAACAAAAACAACAAAAAAAAAAAAAAAAAAACACCAACAAACACCTAAAGGGTTAAAAGAAAAGTACGTACTGTACTGGGATTTCCGGATGAAAAGTGGGGTGTGGACCCCCAGGACCACCCCTGGATCCGCCCTTGAGTTCAGTGCCTTTCATATGACTTTCGCTGCAGTGCCTTTGTCCAAAGCATCTACACGCCGTTATACATCGACTTTAGGTGAATCCTTTACTGTTAGTTCTCTCTTTGTTGTTATATCAGACATTTTGAAATTATATATATTATGATAGTCCACTTGTTAACAGTGCATTTGGTATTTTTGCATTAGTGCACACAACTTTCCTACCCCAAATCTATTATCGTATTTGAATAAGACGTCTAATTTTAAGATAATTTTCTTCTATTACATTACCGTCGCAAACATGTAATAACGGAGATAGCGCATGCCAGATATTTCTCTATTTTCTTCTATTAATCTTCCGCCATTATTGCCTACCTGACCTCCCACTCTGCGCGTTTCCTTCATAAATCGTCACACTCATGCGTTCCCATACACGTCATGCAGCCAATCAAAGGCGTTTAATTTTTTCCACCAATTAAAATGATTTGTGGATTAATTCACAGTATTTTTAGCCCAATCAGATTCTACTTTTATTATGGGTCTCATATTTCGAAATTCAAATTCATTTCCGACCATGGAAGTCTGTGATGGGTGTCACTTCAATTACAGTATATGGAGTTGATTGCACGTTTTGGGGAGAAAAAAAAACGAAAATGCTATATTATTTTTTAGATCTCGGTGTTCTCCCGACCTCAGCAAAGTGTCCTAAGTGTAAGAACGAATGTAAATATCATCAAGACCAACATATGTGGCATTGTGGTAACTTGTTCCTTATTCCCAAGACAAAGAAGAGATGTTGGTGTTCGTACACCGTCAGTAATTACAAAGGAACATTTTTAGAAAATTGCCATTTTCACTTGTACTAATCTCCAAATCGAACGACGAACCAGAACCAGGTCAATAAGGTAAGAAATAAGTGATTCCATCATATGGTGAGAGTTATGTCAGGTAAGGTCAGATTAAGTTAGGTTAAGTTAGGCTATGTTATTTTAGGTTAGGTTAGGTTTATATGCCTGTTTTTCTTGTGTTTTTTGTGTGTATTTTGTATTCGATTTTGGTCGGAAAACGCCCCACCCAAAACCTACGATAACTAAAAAATGGCAATTTCCGACGGAAATCGAGATCAAAACACACAAAAATACAGTACACTAGAAAAACATAGTTTTAACTTTCTAAGAGAGTTGTGTACACTAATGCAAATTTACTGTGCATTTTCTATGATATTCATCCATGGTATCACCATTTTCTACTTCTTGAGCTTTAGGGCTAACTATTATAATTTTTAGAACACTTAATTTCTTTTATTCGATATAATGCTGCTCCACCTGATTTTAAAGTTGTTTAAAAAATCTGTTGTGCAATATGTCATACTATATATATATATATATATATATATATATATATATATATATATATAT